ATGGAAGAAACCTTCTTCCAGGAATCCGGAGCACAGGCCGAAGCCCACCGTCGGCGAGGCCGGGGGAATCCCGCTGATCGACCTCTCCCAGTTGGCCGCCGAGAGCGCCGCGGCCCGGCAGGCCCTGCCTGGGCTCCTGGACCAGGTAGAGGCCGCCTGCAGGGATTGGGGCTTCCTCCAGGTGGTGAACCATGGCGTACCCTCGGAGCTCCTGGAGAGCCTGCAGATCGCGGCGAGGGAGTTCTTCCCGCTGCCCGTCGAGGAGAAGGCCCGGGTGCGGTGGGACGCGGTGAATCCCTGAGGGTACCACGAAAGGAGAGTACACGAAGAACGTCCGGGACTGGAAAGAGATTCTGGAACTTCTTGGTGCCCGGCGAGACGACGATACTGCCGGCCGACGATCAAGGCTTGTGAGGGTCGGCGAATTGGAAGAACCAGTGACCGGAGTACGCTCCCTAGTTGAGGTCCTCCATCCAGGAATCTGTTGGTAATCTACTACCTTCAATGTGTGGTTTTTTCCTTGATATACTTGCTGCGTGCCCTGCACAGATGCAGAGCAGAGATACGGTAGGGCAGTGGAGGAGCTGGCCTTCAACTCACTAGAGCTCATCTCCCTCACGTTGGGCCTACTGGAGAAGCGGCTGAACGGATTCTTAGAAGGCGCGTCGACGTGGAGCGTCATCCGGCTCAACGACTACCCTCCCTGCCCTTCTCTTCACCTGGCCTTTGGCGTCGGCCGCTACAAGGACTCCGGAGCCTTGACCGTCATCGTGCAGGACGACGTGGGTGGGCTCGACGTCAAGAGGAGATCCGACGGCGAGTGGGTCCGCGTGAAGCCTATTCCAGGCTCTTTCATCATCAATGTCGGCGACATCATTCAGGTACGAGACCCTCCTCTCTCACTTTGTTTCTGTCTGTCTGTCTGTTCTCTCTCTCTCTCTCTCTCTCTCTCTCTCTCTCTCTCTCTCTCTCTCTCTCTCTCGCATGCTGTATCATGCGAAAGCTCGACAGGTGTGGAGCAACGACAAGTACGAGAGCGCGGAGCACAGGATGTCCACCATGATCGAGGCTTTGGAGGAACTAGTGAGTGAGGGTTCCCCGCGCAAGTACGAGGCCTACAACTGGGGCTTGTTCTTCAAGACCATGAGGGACGGCGACTTCGAGATGATGAAAATAGCTAGACTAATCTAAAGAAGGTTAGCTAAAGCAAGATTGAGTGATTTCCTTTAATATTTGAAATAAAAGGATTAATGCGATTAAGAAATCACCAAATGGTAAGGGTCTGTTCTAAAATCAATAAGTCAATTAACTGGAAATCAAGTGGGTTAACACTCGTCACTAACCACCAGCTATGAATATGAGTAGACTTATCTATGGATCACACAGCGCAGGTGTTGTAAGATAAAATATTAAATGAACAAAATGCTCAAATTTTAAAACATAGTATTTAGAGAAAACCTTGTCACCAGAAAAGGTGACAGTGGAGAGGAGGAGCACGAACTGAAGCTTAGACCAACTTTTGAAAAGTTGACCTTACGTTGACCTTTGACCACATCGTTGACCATCACCCCTGACCGTGACGTTGACTATTGACCGAACGTCCTGGTTGTCTGGCGGACGGGCTCGAACCGGAGGGTGCGATTGGCGCGGACCAGATGATCTGGTGGGAGTCGGATCAGCATGATGAGCTGGGGACCAATGGTCCAAGATGGTTCGGACCACGCGGTTGGACCGGCTCGGACCAAGCGACTCGGCTACGCGGTCGGTTCGGGTCGGGCTGAACGAGACCGGTTCGGTTCAGCGGTTTAAGTACCGCGAACCGGGAATTTAAACCCTAATAAGTGGGCGAGAAAGGGGGAAAGGGGGAATCCGAACGGGTCGTGCCGGGCGAAGGAAAGGAAGGCGACGGCAACGGCGGAAGAGGTGGAACGGACGGAGAGATGGAGGCGGGGCTGGCGGCAGCAGCGGCGACGGGGTAGCGAAGGGCGGCAGCGGATGGCGGCGGTGGAGGCAGGGAGAGCGGAAGCGGCGGAAGGTGGCAGTGGACGATGGCAGCGACGGCGACAATGGGTGGCGGCAAAAGGTGGATAATGGCGGGGGACGGTGGCAGCGGACGGCGGCGGGGATGTTGGCGGCGGTGCCGATGGATATGTGACCCTCACGGCCTCTCCTGCGGAGCGAAAGAGGTAAACCTCTCAAGAAGGAATCCACAATTAACGGGCTTGGCTGGGGCTCTAATGACGCGGTCGTTGGCTCCGTCTTCTTCGCTCCCAACCACGGGAAGCTGGCCGTGGAGAACATCCTGATACATCACTTGAAGAGGAACACCGAGTGACGCCCAGCGTCCCCCCGATATCACCTCCGACCTCCAACGACTATGACCTCCTCGCTCCTGCACGGCTTCACCGGATGTCATCTTGCGACTTGTGCTGGTACCATCATCCTCTACTTTTACTGCAAATGATCTTTCAAATTACTCGTTATCTGGTTTAATTCGGGAATATATCACCTTTTAAGCCAACATGCTTCGGATTGTCTTTATGCGACGGTGCAGAGATGACGGGAACATGATACTGCGTTCTATCTTTTAATTCGCACTGATCAACAACCTACACGGCAGCGAGTTTCAGGTGGAACAGCATCCCCGCCAAATGGGAATTTAGCAAATATTCTAAGTATATCATGCGATCATTATAGTCACTTATCTAAAATAAGTAATCCTCTTTCTCTCTCTCTCTCTCGTGTAGATAGATAGAGAGAGAGAGAGAGATATCGATGCTGCGAGTTGTCGAGACAGACTAAACTCTACGTGGAACGTTGAGATCACAGCGGATCTGGAGACGGACGATCCCTCCGCCGGCCGCTTGACATTCAGATGGCAGGCAGTGGATCGATCAGTAGTAGGTGAGGGCGATGTCCAGGAGAAGAAGCTTGCGGGTTCGAGATCATCGCCATGTGGTCGGCGCCGCCGGAGATCACCTTCACGTCGTCCACGGGGTAGTTCTCCGTCATCCACCGCTGGAAGGCTACCGGGATAGTGAGGTCGTCCTCACATAGGATGTAGACTTTCGTGACGAATCCGTACCTCCCTCGAGAATGGCGGCTGCCCCGACAGATCCCCGTGGAAGAAAGATCCTACCCTGATCAGCGACTTAGCCAAGGTGATGTCCTGTCATGGCGTTTGGCCCTTCAAACTCGAGCCCACAAAAATAAGGGACCAGAGAAAGGGAGGGAGAGGGAGAGGGAGAGGGGAGAGAGAGGGTTATTCGTGGGTACCTCCGGAGGGGAGAGCTGATAGAGCTTGGCAGATACGAACTTGGGACCAAACAGCTGTTCGACCAATAACAGTTGGCCTGCCCCAAGTGTCATATCTTCCACTGTCTTAGAACTATCTGCAGCTGGCAGCAGTGGCTGCCTTCACGAAGAGAAGAGTAATCTTTGCATTCTAATCCCTGTCATTTGACGTTCCAATTTCTTGGTTTTTAGTACACATATTCATGAGCAGTGCGTTTGACTTTTGAATCAACTCAGCATGATCCAGGTTGCAGTCTATGGCATGGGGGTGAGGCTGAATTTAGGGCGAGGGGGAGTCGACTTCATTCACATGAGATGGAAGATAGCTGATGGATAGAGGACCGAGAAAATGTCTTTCATAAGGTTCAAACTTTGAGTCAACTGGTACGAATCTGCTGGAGTTGAAAACCTGCGCATAGGCTCTGCCATAATCTGTGAGATTTCTGTACCTCCTGAACGTATTTTGAAAAATCGTAGTCAAACGACTCTTTTACGATGCAGATCAGAGTCAAATCCAGGCTAAGAATGTTAAGTGACTAATCTCTCTCCCTCTCTCTTCCCGGCAGAGATGACGGTCCAAGCAAAGGAGTTACGACTCATCTTCCCCCACTCCCTCTCTCCTTCCCCAAAGGCGGGTCGCCTCCTAACTAGCAAGAAGATGAAAGCGAGGGGGGGAAGGGGAGGAGCGGCCAGAGAACGACAGTGACCACCGGCCGCTCTATCTCAGCTCACCACCAAGCCCGCCATGCATGCTGGTGGGCTGACGGAAGGAAGAGAGAGAGAGAGAGAGAGAGAGAGTAGTTAATGAAAGAAACCTAGTTTTCGGGAAAGTTCTTCACGTTAAATGTAACTTAATTAGAACCAGAGACTTAACGGTTGGTTGACTCTTGGGATTTATGGGTCCATGGGAAAAGACGAGGGGTTTATTCGTAAATCAATTGGCTAATGAGAGAGATAAAGAAATAGCCCCCTTTTTAGTGACCAAGAGAAGGTAGACGGTAGTTGACCAAGTTTGGTGATTGGCAACAGTCTTCCCTCTCGCATACAGAAAATGCTCAATTTCATGCCAAAATGGGAAAGTATAGGGCAACTTGGCGATACGTGCAACCTATCTTATAAAGTCAACATGCCACCAGGAACATACATCAATTGATTTGAATTCAAGCTTCACAAGGCACCCTGAAGACTTGAACAGCTTGCAGGTCTCCTCAAAAACCCCGGAGCAGAAAGAAACAATTTCTTAAGCATCCATTCCAAGAGCATAGAACACAAGAAAACCAACTTAAATGTCCTTTCTCTAAGGTGTTCTTCCCATGTTCTTCAAGTTTTTGCCAAATTGGGTTAACTCCACAAGATGTCAGAGCATTAGCAAGTACCGTCCTACGGTTCTGTGTAGCGAAGAATAATACTATGTGGGCAATTCGATTAAGGAGTTTATGATCAACTGATGAACGGCATTTCAAACACACTATTAAAAAAAATAAAATAATAATAAATAAATAAAAACCATTACTTACTGACAGCGACATCAGCATCCACCAAGTCTGAGAAGATACATAGATTGATCGGTGCATGAACCACAAGGCAGGATTTTTCTCTTTACAGCCGATTAAGATTAGTGCCAAAGAGAGAGTTGCTCAATATTTGCAGAAGACCTTGTCCAATGGATCCATATGACACGATGTGAATGAAACCCTTCTTTACCACTAAACATCTAATGTGAAAGCTTCCGGAGGAAGAACAAGTGAATGAAGCCGTGTGAATGAAACATTGGGCTGCAGACTACCCCACAAGACAGAATCCCACACAAAGCGACCCTTCATTAGCTTTCTCTGAAACGCAGGTTTCAACTCCTTTCCGACTTCTGCCCTGCATAAAACCTCAAACCAATCGCGCTCCACAGTGGGCCTTGACTTCCACTTCGGGGCCTTGCTCCAGATTCTATCATCTTCACCGATGTCTCTCTCCAGTTCTACTTGGAATCTAACCAAGGTGAATGGCATGATTCTTACTTTGACAGAGCGTGGGGTCGCATGCTGAGATATTCGCCTGTCTAGAATCATCCTGAGGACCCTCTCTGGCAGGCTCATCTGAGAAGAAATGGAGATAATTGACAGCGACAGATCTTGCCTGTGAGAGCCATAATAGCACTTATCTGGTAGCAATTCCAAGGTATCAGGAGACTGGGATGCAGTTTCAATGTAAGCCTTGTCATTGTGAGTCTTGTATGCAACCAGGGAAACTGATCCGGAAATGGACACTGAGATCAGAGGCGAACAAAGAGACTGAGTACGGAACAAAGAAGGCTTTCTTTCATGGTCCAGTACCACCTCACTTCTGTAAAGTGAGGACCCAGAAGCAGAAGGGTAGCTGAGAGTGACTTCTTCTGCTCCGTCCACCCTTATTTTGATCCCTCCTCCCAGAACAACTCGCTTCAAACCGGTGCGTGTGACGTTCGCCTGCATAGCACGGCAGATCATCTGGTTTAGAGCTCAGAATTCTACTTTAGTGAAAAAATCCCAAACAAATCATCTCCATCTTCCTGTCCTCCTGTACATGACGAAAAGAAGTGGAAGAAAATAAGAATGAGAGAGCCTGAATCGGACTGCGCCAGTTCAAAACTACTCGATTTTCCCCAATTAAATCCTCATTCGACGTGTTCTATAAAGAAAGTAGGTGTTTAACTCTTGATCTTGCCCCGCGTAGCAGAGAAGAGAGCACAGAGGAAATCTGAGCGAGCCCCTACATAACGAGATCCTCACGGTCCCGTACATTCAACTATATAGATTACTGTTTCAAGTGTTTTAGAGAAGACGTTTGCGTGTCATTAGGGATCCGCATCACAAAGCGATAGAGACCGAGAAAGTCTGAGAGAAGCTCACCGGTAGCAGAAGCGAGAGCCGGTCATCCCCGGTCGACTTCACCTCCAGGGGGCCCGCCAGCTCAAAGCGATTCAGTCTAGGCCGCGGCCATCGCACAGGTTTGTCCAGTCGCCACCAAGCCCTCTCCCTCCCTCTCCTTCTGGGCTTTCTCCAGGTCTCGCCATCGAGCTCATCAGGAAACGTGAATACCAGAAGTGTCCTACTCCCCGTCCGGACCTGGAACTCGAGCCTCCGCGACCGCCCCACCTGAACGCTTCCATTGGCAAATTTGAAAACCCTAACCGCCTCGGGATCCCATCCCTCCTTCCTCGCGATCGCCTTCACCACGTCCTGTATTCAAATTGGGAAACACAGGGGGCGATTATCGCAGGATTAGGGCTCTCCAACTCCCCGAATCCCAGAGAGAGAGAGAGAGAGAGAGGACCTTGAAGAGGATAGTAGGAGGGAGGCCGGAGGAGTTGTACGCGACGGTGAGCGAAGCAACTATCGCAAATATCAGCAACCGGAGGGGGAGTAGGAGGCTCTCCGCCGCCGCCCCCATGCTGAGGCTGCAAATCTGGTCGCCGATTAATCGCCCGTCCGCTTGCAGTGCAGCGTCCCCTGGGGATCTCTTATGCCGCCGCCCGCTTCCTCGGAGAATCATCGGCCAACGCTCTCACTCGCAGACTTTGTCAGTAAATAATCGATTACTTTATGAGCGATAAACTGGATCCAAAGGACGGTAAATTCTTCACACTTAAAAAAATTAATATAATTACGAGGGAATATTGAGGTGGATATCATTCTGCGGCGTTTGACTTTGCTGGCGCATCTGATCAAAGTCAATTTCTCGAGAAATTTCCTCTGATTTCTCCGATTTAGCTACCATCACAAATATATATAAATACACGCACTGTAATTTTTTTGTCAGCATTTAATAATCAACAGGGCGGAGGCGAGCATTATCTACACAGGGTCAACGCCAGAAAATCTACAACGGAGGTTCGTCGTGTCCAGTCGTCGAGGGAGGGGAGGGATTTGCAGAAGCGGCGGCCGTCTCCTCAGCTGAGCATGGTCGGGTGCCCGGTCTGCAGCATCCTCTTGAAGATCTCCACGCCGAACGAGGAATCGGAATGGCTGAGCGGGAAAGAAAGAGGATCAGTCTCTCAGATCGATCCAGAAAGGGGAGGAGCGGAGGAGGAGACGAGGAGGAGGAGCAAACCTCGGGATGGTGATCTCGTAGGGGAAGGAGGAGACGCAATCCGGATTGGGGATGGGGATGTGGTCCTTCTTCTCGTTGACAAACCGGATGATTTGGAAGAGGACATCGCGGAGGGACGCCTCCAGGGACCCCCGCCGGGAGCCGCTCTCTTCTCTGCCGCCTCCTGCTGGCGGCGAGGCAGATATCAAATCTGAAGAGACGGCGGGAGGGGGAGGGGGATAGCGGCGGTGGTCGTACCTCCGGGATCCCTGGCGGGCTTGGCGCCGCCGTGGGGCTTGCCGTGGGCGCCGCTCGGCTGCAGAACGTGAAGATTTACGTGCCACTGCTCCCAGTAGAGGCGCTCGACCTTGTTCGTGAACCACGAGGCCTGCTTGTTCTTCACCTCGTAGAACGACAGCAGAACCTGCAACCCACAAGCCACCGTTAATCTTCTCTGGGAATCTGTGGCTCGTCTTCACGGGAGTGCCAACAACAATAATGCCAAGAACATGAAGAACAGTAAATAAATAAATAATGAATGGATGTCTCAAACCAGTTTATGATGTCTGCTGTAATAACACACCTGGCCTTTCTTGTTCGGATGCTTCTCCACCCAGCTGCAAAAATGGTCAACTTTTTCCTCGATCTTCTTCTCCAGCTCTGCATCTCCACACTGCACCTGTTCAACAGGGCCCCAGAAACGTAAGAACACGACGCAGTAAGTCAATTAAATCCCATAAAAAATGGGCACGCTCTCAGCTGGATTGGTCAACGATAGAACAATTTCTGCTTGGGTTGGGGAAAAAGTTCCATCCCAAGAACACAATCATGATCTTCATCGCTATGATTTTTGAAGTGTCTCCCAGCTCCTGAATCTGGATCAGATACTTTCATACCCAGTTCTCAAAATTTTCCATAGACAAACATTAGCATCATGAAAATCATAAGAACTCGATAAAATCATAGGAATGTGGCCAGGTGATATGTAAGATATTAGCCCATGGAGATCCTTGAAACGCATGACGATTAGGCAATCTCACTCTTACACTTGATAGTATCATCCAAAAGAAAAAAAAATAATTAAAAAATGGGGACTAATTTTCTGCTTGCCCCACCAACGCTTCCTTCTCAATTATGTCCGAGGAATCAAAACGAGTTAAGATGATCATGAACAGCTTCTGTGAGATTACCACCAAAAAAAAAAATCGTACTCACGTAGGTGATTTCAAAGTGTTCAGAATCGACATCCTTTGGCCGAACAAGACCGAGAGCTCTGTGAAACAAAATTGTGTGTAGTATGCCTGAAACCAGATTCAGACGTTGTTAATTCACAGAAACCATAACCTTCTGCGACGAAATCAACGTCAATTGACAATTTCTTATCGATTTAAAATAAATAAATAAATAGCCAACATGAACTAGAACGACCAGCAAAGAACATATGCCGAAGAAGAATTTGTTGACGATTAAAAAACTCATAAATTATGGTGACGACAAAAATATGCTGAATAATGAAGTGGGCTTCCAATCCATGAGGAATACAATCGAGAGGACTCATATTCCTGAACCAACAAAGGTCAGAAAGAACAATCCAAAACGCAGATGCAGAAATTTCATCATAATCACGCGTCACCATTTTTCCAGGATTAATCGCGGTTAAAGATACGTCAGATCATCAGCAGTCAGTCTAGCTGCAGCAGCTGAGACTGAAAAAAATGCGTCAAATGCTTTCAGGTCCATGATAGACGACCCAGCAATTAAACAGAAACTAAAACCAGAAGGAATTGCTAGCCAGTAATATTGGGAGCTTAGTAGGAGGCTAAAAACCCTAAGATCGACCAAAATGGAGAAGTCGACAAATCCCAAGAACGAGAAAAGAAGAATTGAAGGAACTCACAACGGAGAACTTCCCGGACCTGAAAGACCTCCACCTCCTAGATCATCCACAGAGAAGGAAAGTAGTAAGGGTTGAAGTCAGATCAGAACGGAGCTCCAAGCTGGAGAATAGGGAGAAAATATAGCAAAGGACGCCCCCCGATTTGAATCAGACTTGATCCTTTCAGATGCTCACCAGTTCTTTCAGATGGCATATTTCGCAGTTCATCACGCTGAACAAGGCAGGCAGGCAGGAGGAAAATCCCTGGAAAAACATGAAGAATGTGGCGCCAGACCGGCAGCTTCGATTAAACATAGAGGATAAAATACACAGAAGATCTAGGAAAGAAAAACAATTCATGGGTAGCTCACCCTCCAGAATCCGTATTTCTACCCAGACCGCACAGGAACCGAAGGAGAAGGCCCCGCCGGATCTCTCTGTGGGAATCGCCTGAGGAAGACAAAGAGATGAGCAGAGAGAGGGAGAGAGGGAGAGGCCAGCACAAGGAAGCTCTGTATTATCCCTATTTAGCGATTACCCAAAGCTACACGTTCAGAAAAGTGTCGAGTAGGGACCTCACCGGAAGCTTCAACCCTATTCCGGCCGAACGCCGCTTCCTCCGCCGGCGGTCTGCTGCAGGATGGAAGAGTCCGGCGGCGGAAGGCGTGGAAGATGAACATTACATCTGGAATGGGCTGTATTTTATTGGGCCAACTGGGTCGTAGGCCCGAAATCGTCAACTGCGTCGGGATTGCTTTCTCTATCTATTGTCGCAATCTCCAGAGCTGGAGCTCATCCACAACCGCCGGATCGGTGGACCCCTTTGGGGTTGAGGGAAAATATAATAAAAATGCCACGTCAACTAACCGTTCGGAAATATCCTTGTCTGACACGTGGAGGCTTCCTTGATCGTTGGCCGGTTTCCGTTACTCCCCAGATTGGTTAAACCAGGGAGAATGACCGGCGTCCAACCTCTCTCTCTCTCTCTCTCTCGCTCTACATGCACTTTATTGTTTGGTTTTCTATGTGGGCTGGAAAAGACCCGATATTTTTTTTGCGATGGATATGATCCTGGAACTCGGCTTCTCTGGTGACCAGGTTTTCATAGATAAATAGCAGAAATTTGAGAATTTCATCCAAAAAGGTCGGGAGTTGATTGGGTCAGAGCTTCGTAGGGGTTGACCTCGACTCTCTATACCCGACCATATGCTAGATTTTGACCGGGATTTTTTGGGTCGGTCACTGGGTGCAAGCAAAAGGTTTCTGTTTTATATTTTGACCTAAAGATCGCAGCAGCAGCAGCAGCAGCAGGAGGATTGGTGGAGCGCGTGACGCGCGGGCTATCGCCATGTCTGCCATGCTTTTGAAAGTCTCTCTGTTTTGGCGGTAGTAGCAGGCGGCTAGGGTTTCATCTCCGGTGTTCCCCTTTTTCTTCGGGATATTGACGAGAGCCAAGTTGCGGTAGCTCGCGTTCCTTCGGTCCCCCGAAGGACGCTGGCTGCTTCGACTGGCCCTCTGATTCTGGTTCATCCATCCGGGGCCGCCTGATGCAGTCCGTCTCCCACCTGCGCCCTCGAGCTCATCGCCGACAAGCCCCATGGGAAGGCCCAGGGGCTCCGGCGGATCGCCCCTTCGGCGGCTTGAGCTCGAGGCTGGAGAAATCGAGCCTCGCGTTCCCTCTGGAGAGCCCGACGGCCTCCGACCCCGCGAGACTCTCGTGCGAATTCAAGGTCGGAGATGGAAACGTCGGAGGAGAACCGAAGCCTCTTCTCCTTCCCCTGGTCGTCCAGAGGTCCGGGAAATCTTCCCGTTACACCTGGGACGGGGCGAGCCTCGCCCTGGTGGATTTCGAGCGGGAGCCGCCGGAAGATCGCGAGTCCGTCAACGGCGGACTCGCCCGCCTGATTCAGACCTCGACTCTGGCGATTCGGGGATTGTTCGTCCCCCGCCACGTTCAGGAGAATTACATGGGTTATCTCAGGTGGAAGTTCTTGCATCGGCTCTTCAGCTCCTCTCTCCAGGTTCTCGCGACTCAGGTACTCCCTCCGACCGATCGATCTCTCCTTCCCCGAGCAGAATCGTTCGAACCTAAATGCTGCACCGGAGAAGCGTGATTAGAGGTGGAACTGAAACGGGATTGAAGGAGGACGAACGACTATTTTCCAATGGGAAATCCCCCCTCGATCCACTGATCAATCCAGCCGTTTCTGGCTGCTTAGGTCGTAGCTCTCGATTTCTACCTCGCTTCTGCAGATTAAAATCCCCCGCCGATATCGATTATCTGCAGGCAATGTTTAGGGCAATCGGGATCGGATCCTCGCAGGCGCTCTCATCTGCGGCCGCGCTGAATTGGCTGCTGAAGGACGGGCTCGGAAGGCTCAGCAGGTGCATATACACTGCCAGCCTTGGATCCACATTCGACACAAATCTGAAGGTGCTCTCCCTTCTCTCAAGTTCATAAGCGTCCATTTCTGATCTTTCGAGCTCGAGACAGTACTTGATGTTCTTCCGTCGTGGACAGATGGTCAGGTTCTCCACATCGATCTTGTTCAGCCTAAGCATCGGAATAGAGCTGCTGACTCCTCTTTTCCCCCAGAAGTTTCTGCTTCTTGCGACATTGGCAAACGTCGCGAAATCTATCAGTCTCGCCGCCTACATTGCTACCGGGGTATGCTCATGCTCACTAGTCCTTTGCGAATTAATCTGTTTCCAAGTTCTCATCATCACCATAGCTTCCTCATCGGAGACCGACCAGAACTGCTAATCTAGAGCTCTGTTTTTTCTTGCCGATTATTTCAGTTCCATCGCCTCATCGTTCGGATTATGGAAATTAATCTGTTTCCAGGGTTATCATGGAAAGTAATCAGAATTGTGTTCTCTACGAGTTTTTTTCTCCACCATTCAGTCTAACAAGGGAATATCGGTTCATAAATCCGCCGTCTACATCTGCTAATCTTCCGGAAATCAATCTGTCTCGAACTCATGTCACTAGAGTACCTTTTCCCATGCATCTGAGACTGTAACTTCTCACTATACATCCGGAGCATTCTGACCAATCGCGTCAGTTCATAGCCATTGTGTGTTCTATCTTCCTCTTTTTGATTAATTAAATTGAGTCTATTTTTTTCACCCTGCACTCTGCTAGTTCCTACCCATTTACAGCTGCTGATACGAGATCTAAGTCAACGGGCATAGCTTTAATTGCTTCGCAAGAAATCCAGCGGTCCTTTTATTTATTTTATTTTTTGAAATCTCTCAGTCCAGCTTGTTCTTGTCTTGACAGTCTGCCATCCATCGCAGTTTCGCCATAGCCGACAATCTCGGTGAGGTTTCTGCAAAGGCGCAGGTGAATCATCTCCCCTTCTTCCTTCCTCCTCCCCTCCCGTCTGGGGGCGTCTGCCCACATCATCTGCTCGAATCCTACTGAGATCTGTCCCCTGTTCCAGCTGCAGACGGTCTGTTTTGACAACCTGGGTCTAGTTCTTGCGGGTTTACTGAATGTTCTGGGCAGGAATAATAGAAGGTGGACTTTGATCCCGAACCATGCTGAATAAATGTTCGTCTGGTCGTACTTGGATGATGATTCCATGGATTCCAGATGATTTTCGTAGCTGTTTTCATCACGAATTTAACTCATGTATCTGCTGATAATTTCCATTTTCATGACAATTTTCCTCAAGATTTCAAACTGGGGTCACCTTTGTTATATACCCAATTTTTGCGGCGATTGAATTGTTTTCAATCTATCAAGCTCTCAAGCACGTGCATCTGCAGACGTTGACGAAGGTTGGTCAACTTCGATCAAAATTTCTCAATAATTGGTTTAAAGTTTGTTCTCTCTCTCTCTCTCTCTCTCTCTCTCTCTTGTTTGTCCTGAGAAAAAGGGTCCCAACTTTTGTATGCAGAACAGGTTGGAGATTATTATTGATGCATGGGTTCGGTCAGGGTATGTTCCCTCGCCTGCAGAAGTGAGCCATGAGGAAGGCGTTGACTTCCTGAACCTTAAAGGTGGGCCTATCCGTCCCCCGGCCTTTTTTTTTTCTTTTTTTTTTTTGTAGGGTTCCTGAGAATCAGAGGCGTGGTGAATGACAGGAAGTGTTTTCCATTTCAGGCAACAAGGCATGGCCGATCAGGATAGGCTGCGTTGACCCTGGGTTCCAGACTTCGGCGTTTTCTTTGCCGATCTTGCAGTGTCTGAGTGACAAGGATCCGTATTTCATCTGTGTGGAGACTGCTCACAGCAACTGGACGAGGAAACCCAAGGTAAACCCTAAAACCCGTATGGTTATTAATTTTGAGTTGGATTTCTCTCTCTAGGTTTCCAATCTGCGTCGTGGATCTTTGCAGCAGAGGATCCTTCTCTCCCTTCAGGAAGGAGCAGGGACCTCGGAGATCATCATGGGCCTGTTGCAGGCGTGCCTCCTTCGCAGAGAGCTCGTGGCCAGCGGCGGCGTGATCCCGGCGGAGTGGCTCCGTGCGGTGGATGACTGCCGGAGGCGCGCGGCGGAGGATCTCCCGGCGCTGTCGGAGGACATCCGAAGACGCGGCTGGGCGACAAAGAACGTCCTGCTGAGCTCGCCGGAGCAGGCTCGGTACACTCTGGTGGACGACGGCTGAGGAGGCTTTCCGGCGTTCGGAGAAGAGGAGGCCTCGCCGGCGGAGGGCCGGAGAAGATTCCGGGCCGGCGAATGCGGTGGCCGGCAGGCCTCGCCGCGCGCCGCCGCCGGGGACTTCTCGTGGAGGCGAATGGCCTGGGCAGAGGAGGATAAGAGGATAAGGGCCCGGCGACCGCCCAAACGATTGCCGGCGGCAGGAGGAGGGGGCCCAGTCAGGGCTGACAGGGGCCGAGGGGGGGGGGGGTGTGGTTGATGGTCCTGCTCTGCTAAGCGCCACCCCCCATCAATAAAGGAGGCGCCTTTAATTTCGTTCTCCCGTCGTCAGCAGTCAGATGCCCTCCCCCCTCACATGAATCTTCGCACTCACTCTGTGGCCCCCCGTCGAAGCGGACCGTAGCCCTCTCTGCCTCCCGCTCCCGTACAGAGGTCGACTTCATTTAATCTTCTCTGCGTGGCATCTTTCTCTTCTTTACCACGAAGGGAAGCAGAGCGGGGACGGTTGACCGGTGGTTGTTAGCGATGGGCCTGCGAAGAACCAGATGAAAGTCAGGCGTTTGAAGGTTCTTTCGCTCTCGTCGCTGCTTGTCCTTTCAGTAGACGTCTTACTGAGCCCTGTGGATCGGAATGGCAGGCGTGCCAGCGGATCCTGCAGGTCCCCAGGGCCCATAGGACGGGGCGTCCAGATCACCATGGGTCCTCATGGATGGACCACTCTCTCTCTCTCTCTCTCTCTCTTCAATGATACTGTACGACTAGAGATATAATGGTGCAAACCTGTAACGATGCGGAGATGACTCGCTTCCGCATCTCCTCATGGAATGCGGTGTCGAACATGGAGACGTGTGAAGGAGCAGACGCGAGGGAGAAGGTAAGCGGAGAACACGAGGCGCGAGGGGAATACTTCTGGGCACGGGGGGTCAATTAGAAGAGGAGAGGGAGAGAGAGGCAGGCGGAGGCACGCAGAGAAGAGGGGGCGGCGATGGCCGGAGCTGGGCAGGGCAACCCACCGACGGAGAATGTGGTGCTGGTTGCAGTGAAGGCGGAGAGGGAGATATCCAAGACCCCTCTGGCGTGGGCGCTCGCCCACGTCGTCCGCCCCGGCGACTTCGTCACCCTCCTCGCCGTCATCGGCAGTCACAAGGGTACAACTCCCTCCCGACTCCTCTCTCTCTCTCTTTCTCTCCCCCTCTCGGCCTCCTGCCGTCAGCTGGATGCCTCTGCGGTTTTCTTGATGCATCGTCCCTCCGGACCTGCTTGCCGGTCCGTTTTAACCTCGACGACGGCGCCCTCGGGTCAACGTAGAGCAGAGAAGATGGCTATGGAGCTTCCCCAAGTTCACCAGCGACTGCAGCAGCGGCCGCCGCGGCGGGTTGCCGGAGGACCGCCGCAAATGCGACGTTTCGGCCTCGTGCTCTCAGATGGCTCTGCAATTCCACGGCTTCCAGGACCAGAGCGAGGTGAACATGAGGATCAAGGTGGTGGTCTCGGGGGAGGCGGCGGCGGCTGGCGGCGCGGTGGCGGAGGAGTCTAAACGGGTTGGTGCCAACTGGATCGTACTCGACAGGTAACGCCCCCCCTTAACTCCTGTTCTTGCTCCTCCTCCGGCCTCACACGCGCTAATTGCTTATTGATTGATATCTACGGAGTCAGACCTCCCACTGACGACCCATTTAGTGAATTAGAGCTGCCGACGTTCGCGGTCCATCCCATCACTGGAACGTCTGTCTATTTGGTGACGCGGACGCTCGGCATTGTGACACGTAGGCGAACTCTAGATGGGCCCAGATAATTTATTCTCCGGAACTTGGGCCTCCAGTTGTGGGCCCATATGCTGTCCGGCCAACTGGGCCCACTGGGCCTTTGCTTCAAATCTCACACGTGGTGGGCCCAAAGACGCATGCTTTGCACGTGATGGGGAGGAAGGTGGTCCCCATCCCCCACCCCACACCGCTTCACTAAATGGGTTTGGAGGGCATATTTTGGGCCGGCCCACTTTGTTTGACAAGTTCGATGTCTGGCGAAGCAGGCAGCTGAAGCACGAGGCGAAGGGTTGCATGGAGGAGCTGCCCCACTGCAATGTCGTGCTGATGAAACGCTCCAACGCGAAGGTCCTCCGCCTCAATCTCGGCGGCGCCGCCCCGCTGCACATGCCCCACCAGCCGCTCCCCGCCTTTACCCACGTCATCCCTCCCCCCGCAGCATCCGCCATGGCGGAACAGCCGGCGGAAAGGCAGCGCCGGGAGGCCGAGGAGGAGGCGAAGCTCAGGCAGCACCGGATCAAGCACTCTACCCCGACGAGCAGCACCGAAGAGGACGACTCTATGGTCTCTTTCTTGAGGGAGTATAGGGCGTCCACCTCGAGCTCCAGCACCACCACCGGCGGTAGCTCGTCCCCCTTCGTTTGCGAGCATAACCCGCTCTACGAGGGCCTACGCAGCGTCGTGCTGAAGTCCAAGAGAGGAGGTGTGGTCGAAGGCCTGAGCACACCGACAGCCGCCTCACCGTGGCTACGGTTTTATCCCACCGGAGGAGGTAGCAACCTCGAGAATTTTTCTCTGTAGTTGTTCAAGTGCCACTAGTCTTTATTTTTCTGACGGTTTATCTTGTTCCCCTCATGGTGGAGATTCTACTTCCTCCGGCGACGTCAAGAGAAGCCAGCAGTCAAGCTCCGACCCATCATACTGGTCTCCAGCACCAAACACGCAGAATGGTAGGCAGGTCTATTGGGCACCCAACGACCAAATCTACATCAGTAGCCCGGTTGCCCACAGCATCCCCGAGGAGCCGTCTCTTCCCTTGGCGGCTGCCAAGACGCTGCACGAGGCTTTCACGGAATCCGACCAACTCTTCGGCGCGCGGAGGATTGGCTACGAGCACGCAGACAGAGGGAGGGATTTGATGTACCAGTCCGACGGGAGGGACGCCGTCTCCCTGCTGCGCAGCCCGCCGCCTCCTGTTCCGCCCCTGTGCTCTATCTGTCGGCACAAGGCACCCGTTTTCGGGAAGCCACCGAGATGGTTCAACTTCGGGGAGCTGGAGGAAGCGACGGGGGGGTTTTCGGATGCGAATTTCGTGGCGGAGGGCGGCTTCGGGTGGGTCCACCGGGGGCTGCTCCCGGACGGGCGGGTGGTGGTGGTGAAGACCCTGAAGACCCTCGCCGGGCCAAAGGGCAACGACGAGTTCCGGGCCGAGGTCGAGGTTCTGAGCCGGGCGCAGCACCGGAACGTCGTGCTGCTGCTGGGCTTTTGCGTGGAGGGCCCCCGCCGGGTCCTCGTTTACGAGTACGTCTGCAACGGTTCATTGGCCGTCCATCTCCACGGTAAGAAACTCCCATCTCCTACTTTCCTTCCTCCCCGTCCCCTCCTCCCTCCCTGCTGAACAGACGACTGTAATGGGCCTATTTGGCGTGTGTGGGCCTAGGCCGGAACATGCCACCTCTGGACTGGCCCGCTCGCTTCAGGATCGCCGTCGGCTCGGCGAGGGGCCTCCGATACCTTCACGAAGACTGCCGGGTGGGGTTCATCCACCGCGACGTCCGTCCCAACAACATCCTCCTCACCCATGACTTCGAACCACTGGTACGACAACCCTTTCTCTCTCTTTCTCTCTCTCCTCTCCCCTCTATCTCAAGGTCAACGTTGATGATGGAGTGGTATAGGTGGGGGACTTCGGGCTGGCGAGGTGGCAGATCCAGGGGAACGGCGTGGACACGCGCGTGATCGGGACGTTCGGGTAAGGCGCCACCGAAGCCACCGGCTGAGAAACTGCTAGTTGAGAGCTGATGAAGAGGAGCTGGGTCTTCTGGTGAGCAGGTACCTGGCGCCGGAGTACATCGAGAGCGGAGTGATAACGGAGAAGGCGGACGTGTACGCGTTCGGCGTGGTGCTGCTGGAGCTCATCACGGGGCGGCGGGCCATGGACATGGGCCGGACCAAGGGGCAGCAGTTCCTCACCGAGTGGGCGCGCCCGGTGCTGGCGCTGGCGGCGGAGGGTGGCAGTGCCGCCGCCGTCGACCGGCTTCTGGACCCCCGCTTGGACAACGACCAGACGCGCAGATTCGCCCAGGAGCTCAACGCCATGGCGGTGGCCGCCTCACTCTGCCTCCGCCGGGAGCCGCACTCCCGGCCGAGCATGTCGAAGGTGCAGCCGCTGCTCCTCCCCCGGCCGTAGTGAAAACTAGGCCTGGTTTTCTGAAATGCTTCTCCTTCCTGCCTGTGGCCACCACGGCGCTGCAGGTGCTCAGGGTTCTGGAGGGGGAGACGGTCGCCGACCCGGGCTTCAGAGAGCACTCAAGGGAGAGCAGAGGCGGTGGGCGCTTGGGGAATTTGATGGCGAGCAGGTACAGCGGAGGGCCGAAGGGAAGCCTCTCCCAGAGGATCCCGCAGGAAGCGGCCGCCAGGGCCCTCGTTGCAGAGAAGATCCGAGGCGAGATGTACTGATGAGCCCCCCGGAACGAGTCCCTCCTACCTACTTCTATTATCTTCAACAGAAGAAACCCTCCTGTGCATCCGCGCCATTGATTCCCTCTGGGTCCCCAATTTCTTCCTCGTTGAAGTCAACCCCGCAGCAGCGGGGATACCATTTGGGAGGCCGAGGAGCAGTGAAACACGAGAGCCACGAAGAGCAGGAAACTTGGGAAAATACAGTTGAATCGAAGACACATGGAAGCTGCAGCATTCTCCATCGCCAACGGAAAGGGCGAGGGAAAACCACGGTATATGCATGAGCCTGCGAGCAATGCAGCGATTCTGGCAAGAAGCGACCCCTCTGCCGAGCTTTTGCATTGCACCACAAGAATAATTAATATGATACACGCAAGTAGGAAAACAAGAGAAGACACAGAGACAGAGACAGAGAGAGAGGAGGTTGGGGCAAGACCTCTTCGAAGATTCCAGCCGGGTGGAAGATGAGGTCACTGGGAGAAGGAGCTGGGCACTGTGCTACCAGCCTCCAGATCGTCGCTGCCGAACATCAAGCGTTCTTCCTCCCACATGAGGATCTCCCTGGTGTAACGGAGAGCTCTGTCTGTGGAATCGGGGTCCAGGCCGTTCCCCGCCGTGACATACAGCTTCCTCCCGGTCAGAGAAGAGAAGAGCCTCTTGAACTTGACGGCGATGTAGTGGAAGGCCTGCTGTGGCAGCGAGGTGCCGTGGCTGTTGAGGGCGCGGCTGTTGCCGGCGCTGCTGTGGCGGTGCCGGCTCACCACGGGTTCAAAGTCCTTGAACCAGTCGCACAGCGTGAGCGGAGATTGCTCGATTTTCCGTTCGAGGAGGTCGTACTTGGTCAACACCAGCAGGAAGTCCATCTGCTCGAACGTCGGGTGGCTTATTATGCTCTCGAAGAGCCTCTTGCTTTCGAGCATCTTGTTCGTCGGCACTCCCGTCGCGTCTTCGCTGTACTCGTCGTAGTCGCTCATGGACACGCAGAACACGACCAGCCTCACGTCCTCGAACATCTCCAGCCACTTGTAGTTCTCCCCCAGCCCTTTGGCGTGCACCCTGATGAGCTGGTACCTGCATGGCACAGCCTCACGCGGTCAGAACGGCACCGATGGATGTGTCCAACGGCGCCAGACATAGCAAAGCAGAACCAGAACACGAGTCAAGACGGAGACATTTTTTCCATTATTGAGCAATTCTTGGAGGTAGCGGGCGCTAGTGCCCACAGCGGGCATCATAACATGTCTCATTTCTCATGGAATTGATAGCCGATGCTTAGAATAAAGCTAAAAATGGAATACCCGGAGCTCGAGGTTACCATATCAATGCAAACCATGCAAGGTGGGTCAGTGTTTCTACTTTTGTAGAGCTTACCGTATCAATGCCTCGTGGTGCTCCTCGCCGTCAAACCCACTTATGGTGCCGGCGGACGGAGGGAAAATAAACTCTGTGCATGCCAATCCATTGGAAGATGTAATCCCATCAGCATACAAGATATCCAACTGAGAGGGTTCGTATTCTGCTCTTGATATATCAACAGCCTGAGGAAAAAAAGGGCAAAAAATATCTCAAAACTCCGCCATAAAACTCAGCAGCAGCAGGCTGGTATATGCCATCGCAAGATGTAAAGATCTGTGCCTAGTATAAACATATACACGTGAACCCCCTCAGTTCATTATTTCTTAAGGAAAAAGGCAAATTTTCAAAAGAAATCAGAAGCAAGGCATCTGAATGTCAGAGAAGACAAAGAAATCCAGAAAGAAAAAGTTTGGCCATTACAATTTTGACGAGGCTCTATAAAATGGTAGTAGGAGAAGAGACCTGCGATAGTGTTTCAGTGTCCACTTTGCAGACAGGTGTCTCGGAGACACATCACATTACTTTACACAAAGCCTCCCATTTTCCACGCTCATTTTATTTTTTTTCTAAAGTCTGAGAACTTATTTGGAGATTGCTCTTGGTAAGAAGCTGAAACAACAACTTCGAAAGCACATTTCTGTCTGCCACCGACTCATGGTGCTCTTCGAAACATGCTCTCTAGTCAAAAGTTTTCTTACCCAAAACTTTTGCCAGATCTCGCAACGGGTTGAATGTCGGATAGCAGGCCATGAAACTCGATCTCGTATTTGGATCCTTCATCAGATGCTGCAGAATGTGAAAGGGAGGAGGAGGAGAAAACTTTCCGTAGTAGGCCCAAAGCTTGACCAATGCCTTAAAGTAACATATTTCCGCATCAAAAACAGGCTCTCAGCATGTCCAATTCAAGATAAGGCTTATGTGGGCTTCAAATGGAAAATGTATTACTGTGGTCACCTGAGTCCCGCAAAACAAGACCTGCATTTTGGCCCCAAACCTACCAAAATGATCCTTGTAACCTTAAATCTGCACGAGGTAAACTAATAATGACAAATCAGGATCGGACATTGCGGATCTTGACTCAAAGTGTTCTTATGCAACACTCGCAGAACCAAAACGGCTCCCTCCCAGACTATACAACCAACACTCGCAGAGCCTAACATTGCTTGTTTTTATTATTTCTAAAATCCAAACTACTCATGAATTAGTTCCGTAATTCACAATAAATCATCGGTATTTTTCTTGGCACCATACACTGTCATCGAATGAAAGCTTTTTTCATTCACATTTTGATACTACACAATGCACAACAGTTCATACGTCGCTGACAATGAATAATCAGAGCATATCCGAGCCTGTTCTCACAGTCCAAAATAGTTTCCAGTAGGTATTGACATTATCCCCACGACTAAAAGTAGGCCAATGTTGCATTTCATAAGATATGGAGATGTAACATCCATAGCAATTGACTGAAATAAATTACTTTAATTCTGCGAAACGAAATTTTAACCTGGATGTCGTCATTGGATAGGTATTGCTAATTGAACGTGTAAAATAAGATCATAATCCATGGGCCAAAATAAAATAGCCTACAGGTTATTAAAAGAAGAATTGTGCAATGAATCATTTGCCTCTGAGAAGACCACATCATGGACAGGATATCTCGCAGTAGCAAGTAGTTTAAGTAGAACAAGATTTGCAAACATCAGTACTGGCCCTTTCAGTTAGGGTTAAGTTTTTCTTTCCTAATAGCTTGTTTTTTAGCAGTCGACCATTTCCTCTAAAGATCAACAAGCCATTTCCTTTAGGTTTCCTCATGGGCTAGGCTTTGTCACTCGTTTAAAGAGACTGGATACTATGATTGCCGCTTTACATCACTAAGTATCTGAGTTTTTTGTCCTCTCCTCTCTCCGAGTTTGTTCTTCGACTCAACCTTCCCTGTTGCTTCAGTTTGCCATTATAAATCATGCAGCCAAAACTGGACATCGATCCGTAACTTTTAACCAGATGATTCGCAAAATTGTCACTTCTATGAAGTCGTAACTGTGTTCGTCCCTATCCTCGTGTCATTTTCAACATCACCACCTGTAAGTTCAGATTCCAACACAGAAATACTCTGTTCCCTTCGCCAAGGCATTACGCTGGCGTCATAGAGTAAATCATCAAAAAAGCTTTCAGCAACGACTTTTTTATCTCGTTTATTACACAGTCACCATAGTTACAACGTGCGCATAAAAATAAATATTAAAATAAAATAAAACACTTCAAGAAAAATGAACTAATGCAACAGAGATCTGGATTCATGAAAGAAACCTAAATTTTCATGCAATGAGAAGATTATAAGTTGAAAATATGTTATACCCGCTCTAAAAAGTAACTTGCACTGCTAGGAAGCAACTGCAATTCACTTCTCCGATTATATGTAGCCTGGATAGCAGCGTCCTTCCATAATTCTTCGACTAAGGGAGCATATTCACGGGTAGCGGCAGGAAAAATAGCTTCCAGGTTCCCTGACTCCATAACTTTGAGAAGCCAATCAGAGAAAGCTTTCAACCTTGGACCAATTGAGTACAAAGTCTTGCACTTGCCTCCATCAGATTCATTGCCTGCAGTCAAAAAGAGTTCCATTTCAGGATATAATGATAAAGAGGTAAAAAGGGCATGAAGCTTATTTGATTATTCAGTAGAATTTACTTTTTGGAGGTGCACTTACAAGTAGAATTCTGACCGGGTTAATTTGTTTTTTCACACGATGATGGTAAATAGTTCATAGTTCAAGGTAGTAAGTATTCGTCAGAAAACATGAAACATTTATTTTTACTTCAACAATTTAAAAAAGATGCATATGAATAAAGTAGAGAGATAACGAAAGAATCTAACATGCAATGAGCATCAATTGGAAAAATGCATAGTACTTTGTAAAATTTATACCTGCAGAACGTTTTCTCGTTATTTCCGTCAAACTTTCTTCCTCAAAACGTTTACGTCCCTCCAGTAATATCCCAAGATATTTGTATATGTTGCTCTGGATCAACAACTTAATGCTTTCACACTCTCCCTCGGTGAAAGGAACTGTCTTATACAAGAACTTTGCCTGATAAAGAGCAATGACAATATCAAAAAAAGTTTAAATATTAAGCATTAAGGAGAAATTGTCTCCATATGTCCACTTTACAGTCCCTACAGAAGTATAGTAGTCAACAGATGCACTTAATCCTAGGCGTAGATAATGATAAAAATAAAATAAATGGCAGACTACTATTCCCTACACATCAGCCTACTTATTGAGCATAATTAAAGGAAGGAAATCTAACGATAGTTAGGCATTTTTTCCAGAAATCTTGGCTAGAAACAGAGCAATAAAGATCTTCTACACATCTCTAGCTCAAGGTTGTCGTCTGTAAACAATAATCATTCTAACTATGTAGCCTAGCACGTGAATGGAATTGGTACTGCTACAGTGGAGATTTATTTTTCACTTGTACAACTGTCCTAAGAGAGGTTCAATTTATCGAGTAGGAAACCCTCATAATACAGAGAGGATCTCAATAGGAACTCGTAAATATCCGACAAGTAAAGATATCAAACTTTTCCTATAATAGCTACTAGTTTCGTAGCATCACATAAATATAGTGTCTATGATGCTTCACTTGTATCTTTCTTTCTAGATGAGTGGAAAGGGAAGCCCACTGCCACGCAAGGGCCTTGAGTGCTCAATCCTTTCATGAGGGATAGCCATACCAAACCTCCAGGCAGAGTTGAACAGGTAAAGAGTTTACCCCTCACGTTCTACAAACAAACACACACACACACAGACAGACACCTAACAACGGGGAGGCCATGTGCAGTTGCTCCCATAAGAAGTCAATCACTTATATCCGACCACTTTGGTCATAAACCAGTTCTACTACCCCCTATCCAGATCACAATGTGTGCACAAAGCTATAATTAAGAACGAACAGTTCAGGTGGATCCCAGAGTCTGACACTGTTGAAATATCAAACATGAAAAACGATAAATAGTAGAGCTATTCTGAGAACTTTTGTACTTTAACGATAAGTAAACTTCAATTTATTTTCTTCTAAGAGGCTGAACCCGACACAACCACACTAAAATCATCTTCCCTAATATCATCCAAGCTCGCAAGAGCATTCCAGACAATAACCTCACTGAGGTTTGTTGCATGACAAGTGTCCTAAAAGAGGGTAAAAAGTTCTATTTTTGGATCAGAAATAAAAGAGGTTCAAAGAACCCAACCTTAACACTAAAATCTTAGAAAACCAGAACAAAAGTTATATAGTTAATCATAACCATACCTGCTTAAATATGGTACTTGTCCCTGATTGGTGATATCCAATTAAAAGGAGCTTCTGCAATGTCCTTTGTTCAAAGTAGTCTGGCATAGGTCTGTTGGTCATGTTGTTAACTTCATCTCTAGAAGTCACTATCTCCTTACAAGGAGTGGGCAGTGATAGAATAGAGCATACGAGCTTCATTCCAGCCTGTTGACAAATATCTTCAATGGAAAAGCACATAATTAAAGGCTAAAACGTAAAAAGGCAGAAATGCACCCACCTTCCCCCATAAATGCCCTTTTATGTTCTTCTGCCCCTCCTCTTGGTATGTGCCATCAGCATTCACCCAAAAATGAGGGCACCCAGCACATTGGACTCCCGCCCACTGCATTAAAATGTATATTATTGAATATTCTATCCTTTGAGTCTAATCAAAGCTTAATGAATCTCAAATGACATAAATTTACACCTGAAGCATCCGTAGCTCAGTTTTGGTAATTTCTCGATTGTTTATGAATACTCCAGTTGTCCCATTGCTAGCCTCTGGCATGAGGTTTCCTCCAACATTCAAATGTGGACTGATGATCTTGTGTGGTTTGTGTCCTTCCTGTTGGAGTTTTTTATGATACGATTATTACGTAAAGCAGAACAATATCTCCATTCACAAGTGAAAAAATTCGAATGCAAATTGCAAAAAGTTAGGGATATGTTATCCCTCACATAAAACTATAAACTTGTGTGCACGTGATAATTGATGCATCATTTGTTGCTCAAAAGCTGAAAGAGATATGCAACTTAAAATGCGATAAGTTGAGTTAAAATGAGGTGATAACAAGAATCAAGGCCTAAATGCACTTCATAAATTGGTCAGAAAAAGGGCGTGAACATTTCCGATCAGAAATTTGACAATAAGACTAAACTATGTCACTGGGTTATCGACACCAAAATATAAATTTCTTTCGACAATGCACACGAGTTTCACATTTACCTTTCCCCAGAACCCTGACACCTTATCGTACCAGTAATACCCTGGCTTCAGCTTAGTAGGTGGGTTGGGGGAACTCTGTAATAATATCATCTCGTCCTGGCTAAGCTGTTTTCTGTTTACATACACATTTTCGGCCCTTAGATGGTTTGCCTCACAAAACTTCTCTGCCTTCATCACCTGTTGTACCTCCAGCGAGCTCAGTAGCTTCTTAAGGATGCGAGAGCACTTTCCTAAGCTATCTCTCTTTGTCTCGTCAATTGGGAATCCAATACACGTAACGCACTTCCTTCCCTCAGGCATCGATCCCATTGCCTTCAGCAAGCAGCTGCTACAATACTTTGCATCACATACCAAGCAAACCTCCTTCTCTGTGAATCTGTTTCCTCTGTGGCACCGGTAGCAGGAACCCTTCTTCACCCTTGGGTTGGACCCTTCCCACAGCTCCTGCTGGCCACTTGCAGTCTCCCCATGATTCGTCAGGCGTTCCACTTCAGAGTCCTGGAAAGACACCTGCGGCCCACGCTTGGCATATTCTTCCGGTGGAGCCACCGCCATCTCCTGGTCGTCATCATCGGAGCCAGAGGACGGGAACCCAAAGTCGTCCGAGCTCAGTCCTGACCCGGTCGTCACCTGATCGACGCGCGCATCTGTACCATTTGAGAAATCCACACTCTCCTTGAACTCTGTCGAGAACCCCACTGTCTCCAAAACGCCGTCTGAAAGCTCCCGCGACCGATCGGGGACGCTGGGCGAGCACCCCAGCACCCCCGATGAATTGCTGGCGATATCTCCAGATATATCGTGGTCGAGCCTCTCCACCACAGTCTGATCGAATGCGATCACAGACGTCGGCGACACTGCCGCCTCTGCCGCCTGATAGAACTCCTCCTTCGGCGGCCTCTTCAGCGGGTCCGGCGAAGGCAACGGCTGGACAACGGGAACGCAGACGGAAACCGACTTCGGCGCAGAGGCTACGGAAGCGACGGGGATGTGATCGATCTCAATGGGGATGGCCCGGGGAATCTCGTAAGAAATAGGGGGGCCGTCGTACTCCTCCGCAAAGGAACAGTCCTCAGCCTCCGCCTCCGCGATCGGCGTCCCTACCGGCAGCATTCTTCTGGTCAGCTTCTCCATGCTTCTCCCCAAATAAGGAGATCCTCCCGGGGGATTTCCTCCAACAACCCTAGAACAGGAGGGCAACCGGGAGCCCTCCTCCACCGGGGAGCTCCACCTCTGCTCTTCACTAGCCCCTCATCATCCAGAAAGAGCAAAACCTAATCCTATTCTCATCGATCCCCCACACGAGTACGAGCTCGGACGATAGAGGAAGAAGACGACGGCGTCTTCTTCGCTGTTCTTCTTCCGTCCCCACTCTCGGCAGCAATTTCCTCTCTCATTGAGGCCCACCACTCTGTCTCTCTCTCTCCTCCCCCCTCCCCTTTGTTTTCAGTTACCACAAGCGAACAACGCGGGGGAGAGCGGTTTCTGGCTGTGGGCCCCACCCGTCGGGTCTTTTTCCCGCGAACTCTTACCCACTTGCGAATCGCTTCGCACCGTCTCGTCCGTGGTTCGGCGGGGCTCGCGTCTCGGTGACTTACTGACGCGGTTTCCTCGCCATTTTATATAATGAAGATGAGTCGACCCGTGACCCCAACCACGACTCGGCAGCCGGCTCGTTTGTTTCGGAATCTTTGCGCGTCGGACCGCCCCTCTCCCTCTCTCTCTCTTTCTCTCTCGCTAAAAATCCACGTAGACCGAGTCGGGTTTCCGATTCGGGCCGAGAGACCCGGCCTCCTTTCCTCGCTGATGACAGCGGCTGACGGCGCTGGAAGATCACGACCCTTGACGGTTCCCAATTAGCTCGAATAGACTTGGTTAAAAACTATAATCTCGAGTGACATAATTTAAAATAAAAACATTGTCGTGTTATTAGCTGGCATCGAGCCTATCGAATCGGGTGCTGTTCGGCCCGACCCGGCCCGATCATGACCGGATTAAATCGGAAATCGGTCCAGTTCTGAAGCATACGTGCACGAGAGAGAGAGAAAGAGAAGGAGATAGAGGTTGACAAATGAGCCAGTCGAAGGGTGACCGGACGGGGGGAGGGCCTCAACTGGATAGAGGTGGTCCTGTGGAGGTGACGCAGCGCCGTTGAAAAATCACGTGCGTGGCACGTGTCGGTAGACGGCGAGAGAGGGGACTGTTCACGCTACGGAGGGAGATTGACCGACGCATCATGGGCAGCGTTGACAAATGCCTTAAAGGGTTCATCCGTTGTCCTCACTGTCCTTCTGTCCCACACAGAGAGAGATAGAAATAGAGATAGAGAGAGAGAGAGGGACACATACAGCTCGGTGCATCTGATAAGGTTGAGCAGTTGCCGCCGACGCAGGGCATAACTGCGGCGGACAGTCCACATGAGCCCCCCCCCACTAAATAAGGAGGAAAATAAATCTTGTACGCTTCACTCTCCGAAAGGTTGACTCCGTCTGCCATCCCTGTTTCCTCGACGACCTCCAGTCAGGCTCCAGATTTATGGGGAGAATACACCGCCGCCTTTCGTCGTCGTCTCAGACAAGCAAAAGGCTCCCACTCTGAACTCTCGTGTCGGCAGTAAAGACCGCGAGCTCATCCGACAGTCCGGCAGAGCCACCCCTCCCTTCCCCCACCAATGCGCCTCCTGTGGGACCAGATCTAGGAGTCAAACGATCAGAGCCTGCAGTAGTGTGGAGAGAAGTCAACTTAGGTTAGGCTCTGCCACGGTCGTCTCCTCTGTCCGAACTTCGACACAAGGAGCGGCAGGCATCTGTTGTGTCACGTGAGACGTTTCTCTTGCCACTCACAGATAGAGGGAAAGAGAGAGGGTTGACGGGGTGGCGACAAGAAGGAAGACGCAGGTGAACGGACGAGATTCTGTTGCGCATACATGAGCACGGGGAAAAGACGGCGTTTGACCAACTTTTTAGTGCAACGGTAGTGAACTGGATATAAATATATATGTTTTTTATTTACGGAAATTAGAAGCATGAACGCAGCTTGTACACGTTAGGAAACATTAAGCGTTATATATACACCAATGAGCATGGTCCAATTGACTTAAATATCAAGGTTATGGCATTCAAGTCAGCGGGAGGTCGAGAACATGGGGCGGCTGTGGCGGCCCATCCCCCTTGTTAAGCCACGTGTCGTCGAAAAAGCGGTACACCAGCGTTGATCTGCAGGTTTGGTGTGGAATAGCACGCCGTTAAGCTCCCAAGTAAATGCAGCTTGATCTGGTCCATACGTGCCTATACCGGTCATTTGCATACGCACGTTTGGTTGGTACGGGCTGCTGAGGGTACCTTTCAAATCTTGAGAAAAAAGGGTATGCGTGCTTCCCGGGCGTGAGCGAACTCCACCTGTTCGATGAAATGCGCAGCGGAGGAGGATGCACATCCATGGAAACCCTAATAATTCGAGAAGGACAAGTTACTCTGGAAACTACTTCCAATAATTGATTTTTTTCTCCCTCTATCATGCCTCTCTCTCTCTCTCGCTCGCTCTCTGTCCTGTCCCTATCCGGCTATATTTTATGCGACTGCGAGAGCTTATGAACATGCAGCGGCGTCCACGACAGAGTTGATGAAATGTACTGATCGGCAGAGAGAAGCGCCGAGAAAGACCCTTCCTCAACGGGGCCTATCGGCCGACCAGCCGATGAGCCTCTCTCTTTCTCTCTCCTCTCTCCACGAAGAGAAAGACTCTTCATCTTTCCTGTGGTTCTCTCTCGCCCGGTTTGAGTGGGTCAAGGTCAAGATTCCCGTTACGGGTGACAATGGTCAAAAATAAGAGGGCCCACCTATATCGCTTTTCCGGCCTGATGTTGTGGAAATCCGCCGGACAAGGGAGGAGCGCGACAGCCAGACAAACTCCACCGCCGGCGGCGGCTTCCGTATAGGCGTTCTCACCGTTACTGACCAAAAATTGCCCAAGAAGTCGTTATCGTGGTTGTTCGGTGGCACAGATTCGCCGGAAAGGCGTCCAGCTCTGCCCTCCCCCGAAGAGTGGAGAGATTTAACGCTCTGTGTCCATAATCGTCCCCTTTAGATCGCTCTCCTTCTCTCCCTCCCGACCGAACGGAGCGGTTTTCTATTTATGTCTCCTTCCCCTTCCCGCTCCGGCGACCCCTTTCGATCCCTCTGTGGGTGCTTGCCACCGGTCTGCTCGCCTTCCTTCCTCCTCGCCGGAATCCGGAATTCCTGACATCCTCTCTCTCTCTCTCTCTCATCATCTTCTCGCGGAGGTCTTGCACAGACCGGGGAAGAAAAAGGGAGAGGAGGGTGGTAGCGATGAGGGAGGAGAGAGGAGGAACGGGAAGAGGTGGGAACAGAGCCATATTCATGGAGACGAACAGCATGCCGAGGTCTAACTTCTTCGCGCAGCTCCATTCTGACCCCAACATCCCCTGCACGGTTCCGATCGGAGCCGGCCCGGAGGAGGATTACACCCGCAACAGCAGCGCCTCGACGGCGAGCCAAGGGTGCTACTCCGAGCGGAGTACCATGAGCGGCGAAGGCTCCCCCTACAACAACACCTCCTGGAACCAGAGCGCACCCTACGTCAGGTCCCCATGGTCTCGCAGCAAGCCGTCGACCAGCTTCTTTACGGACGATGGCGCCACCTTCCCACCTGGCACGAGGCTCGTCGGGTCGCTGGTGCGGGAGGAAGGCCACATCTACTCGCTGGCTTCCTCCGCCGACCTGCTGTACACGGGATCCGATAGCAAGAACATCAGAGTCTGGAAGAACCAGGAAGAGTTCTCTGGGTTCAAGTCCAACAGCGGGCTCGTCAAGGCCATCGTCATTGCCGGCGAGCGCATATTCACGGGCCACCAGGACGGGAAGATCCGGGTGTGGCGGGTGTCGAGGAGGGACCCCACCGTGCACAAGCGCGCCGGCACGCTACCCACCTTCAAGGACCTGCTGAAGAGCTCCGTCAGGCCCAGCAACTACGTGGAGGTGCGCCGCCACCGCAACTCCCTCTGGATCAGGCACAGCGACGCCGTCTCGTGCTTGAGCCTCAGCGAGGACCGGAACATTCTCTACTCGGGCTCCTGGGACAGGACCTTCAAAGTCTGGCGCGTCGCCGATTCCAGGTGCCTCGAGTCGGTCCGAGCCCACGACGATGCAGTCAACGCTATCCTGACGGGGTTCGACGGGCTCGTCTTCACCGGTTCCGCCGACGGCACGGTGAAGGTGTGGCGGAGGGAGCCGCTGGGGAAGGGCACCAAGCACTCCCCCTCTCAAACTCTGCTGAAGCAGGAGTCCGCCGTGACGGCGCTAGCTCTGAACTCGACGGCGGCCGTCGTGTACTCCGGGTCGTCCGACGGGCTGATCAACTTCTGGGAGCGAAAGAAGCACCTCTCTCACGGCGGCGTGCTGCGGGGCCACAAGCAGGCGGTGCTGTGCATGGCCTCGGCCGGCAGCCTCGTGATGAGCGGCTCCGCCGACAGGACCATCTGCATTTGGCGGTGGGAGGACGAGGTGCACACCTGCCTCTCCGTGCTAAATGGCCACACCGGGCCCGTCAAGTGCCTGACCGTGGAGCGCGACAGCGACTCTCACCCCGCCGACCCCCGCTGGATCGTGTACAGCGGCAGCCTGGACAAGTCCGTCAAGGTGTGGAAGGTCTCCGAGCTGCCCACCGGCGATCACCTCTCCCGCCGGCAACTGGAGGAGCCCTCCCTGGCCGGGAAGCATGCCCTCGGCGGCGCCGCCGGCAACGGTGTCGGCGGAGAGGGAGCATCTCAGTGCTTCGCCTCCCCTCTCGAGAAATGATCTTCTGTGGGTACCAGTTGGTATCTCCCATCATCATCTGCAGAAAGAAGGGCGATGATCGCCCTCTCATCTGCAATGAAAAGTTGCTATTTTTACACACAGACGAATTTAAATTCATATAAATTGAATTGAGCAAAGTCTTATCTTATAAGATAAGATCTTCATGAAGTGGGGCAGAGCCCCCTCGGACGTCCGACGACCTCCACCGGGAATCGTGGATTCATCGAACCCGGGGAATCCGATTCCGCCCTAGGACGTCCGACGACCTCCACTGGACCTTGTTCCTCGTGTGGGTCGGAGCAGGCCCAGTGGGTCCGCCGGCCCACATTCCAGGAGCCTACAGAGCTGTCCCATTAAGACCATTCAGGGTTGTTTTTTCTAACGGCCCGACACCTTTATTTTTGGCCGAGACAAATGTCGGCACCGTTGATGTCGTGGATTTGGGCCGTTCGATTCATCCGTCCGATCGGATCTTGACCGGGTCACATGGACCGTTTGATGGGATCCGAGGTCCAGCAGTAGGCAAAACAAGCGGTCTTCTGGATCCACCCCCGTAAAGCAAAACAGTAGACAATCCACCGAAAGGAGAAAAACAACGGGACTCTCTCTCTCTCTCTATCTCTCTCTCGCTCTCTCTCATCGAGTATGATGGCGCCTTTAAATGAAGCTCCCCATCTCGCACTTCCACGTATCAATCTCTCTGCTGCTGTCGCCGGTTGGTATCCTGCTGGTGCTCATTTGATAGAAAACTCTGAGTTTTGCGCGAGAGGCAGAGAGACAGAGTGGAGATGGAGATCCCGATACCGAAGAGGGAGGGCTCCTCTTTCCCCGAGGCTCACCAGGAGGGTAACCGAGTTGAGAAGTCGGGCAACAGTCCTGTGACGAGCTGCCTCTATCTGAGAGCCTCCCATGGGGGGAACGAGGACGACCAGCGCCGGAAGAGGCTGGATAAGAACCTCGTCCTCCGCCGCATCCGCGACCACCGGCGAGCCAACGAAAACCAGGACCCCGTCCAGAAGGCCTCACTCCGGGTGGCCGGCGGGGAGAGATGCTTCCGCCGGTGGATGGACGAGGACGCCTTCTCATCGCCCTGACCCGCACGAGGACGCCACCGGGACGGCGCCGGCCGGCTCCGCCGATCGCCGCGGTTTCCTGACTCGTTCCTGCGACTGATTAAACCGATCAAAGAACGATCGGAAACGCAGGAAGACAAAAGGTGAGGCCTTCGTGAACTACCACAGGTCATAGGTTGTAAGCAAAATTATGGATGAAGACAAGGGATGATTCCTACCGCTGTTCACAAGGTGTTCTTGGTTTGCTTTCAAGACTTGCCTGGGAGCAGGCGAATCATCATCACCAAAGATTCCGGATATGTTTGCGTCTGTTCCATGCTCGTTGTCCTCAAGATCAGACCTGCTGGTTCGGCAGGGGTTTGAGAGAGAGAGAGAGAGAGAGATAAATATTCGCACAGAACCTGATCCGTTAGTACAAATAGAACTCATTACTAGGACATGATCTCCCTGACGGAGGAGGAAGACGAACCATACCCGCATTAAGTGGACGATCTCGTTCGTGACTAAGACTTAGCCTGGGAGACGCTGCCGTCGGAATGGGTTTCAGATCCTCAGACAATTTTCGTCGCCGAGTCTTTTGCCGAAATATTGGAAAAGAGAGTTAGATTAGATCTGAGCACTCCGACGGATTCCGAATGTTTTTCATGTATCATATTGTGCAGGAAGCGTTATCTGCTTTGATGGGCAGCATGCAGAGCGAATGGGCCGCCCAAAGGATGGAAGAATGCGACGCTATCCCCATCGACGATGGACCGATAGACAGATAAGCAGACAGACGGAGAGAGAGAGAGAGAGAGAGAGAGAGAGGAATATAGACGAGATAGGAGATGCCCCAACTTGACGCCCATTGGATGGGCGAGAGGGAGAAAACACAGATTACACAACTGAATCCTCAACTTGGTGCCCATTGACAAAGGCAAAGGGAGAGAGAGAGAGAGAGAGAGAGAGAGAGAGAGAGAGAGAGCTGAGACAACTGATGCCCTTGGTAGAACACGCGGCCAGTTTCTAGCTATCAGGAACTTCCCCAAAAGCGATACAACGGGTTCTCAGTATATTACTGTGGTCCGAATAAGATATGAAACTCTGAAGCAACAGCAGAATCCGCCGTCGACGCCACTGGAGGTAGCAAACAAGGAACCGAACAATCTCTAAGATTCTTTAATGGGGGATAAGATACGATACCAGCAAACTAGTGACAATTCCAGACTTTCCAGACCATTCCACGGATAATTAACCAGTTTTTGTAGACGAGTGTCGGAATGGGGGGGGGAAGGGTGAGGGAGATAAGGTCGGCTTGCCGGCCTGACCCCATGCTCAGGAGGTGGAATCCAGCATCTGGTCTCCCATCTTGGACATAGTCTAGTGCCGTTCACTCTCTTGGAGAGTGGGAGGTTTGTGGCTATGTCCCACCTCGTGGGGAAGGTAGGAGCTCTGTGGCCCACTCGCCGGTCCGGTGCAAGTCGCCATCGGCGGAGAGGTGGGATCTCAGTTGAAGTCGCCATCGCACGAGAGAAGGGATCTCCCATTCCGCGATCTGGTGCAGCTCACGGTCCCCAGAGAGATGGGATCTCGGCGACCCCCTCGCCGTCGCCGGAGAGATGGGATTTAGTCACCCATGTTCCTCGGGTAAGGGTTACGCAAGTTGGCGACTTGTATGATGACGACACAGAGAATGGGCCTCAAAGTGGTCAGTCCATTGTTCAGTCGGAAAGGCCCAGATTGAATTGCTCACCTTCATGCTGTCTTCCTCCCCAAGTTGGCTTCTCCACTGTCTGCCAAGAACCGCAGAGCAGCGGCAGCGGCCATGGAGTTCGCTCTCGTAGACGGCAAGAACTTCCATCCGGATTGTTCTACACTCGTCCTGGTACGAACCACCCATCCCCCCCTTTCCCCCCATGCCACCCCCAAACTCCCGCGAGCAGAGTCTGCAATTTCTAGGGTATTAACGCTCGGTACCGACGGACTATCCCTCTCATTCACGTTGGGTGTTGCCTTTTGCAGCCGGCACTGTCGATTGGTAACGTTGGCCAACTGTCGGTGGATCTCCTGGTGTCCTCCACTGCTGCCGAGCGCGTAGCCTATCTGGACGAGCCTTCTGTTCTCCCTTGCGTTGGCAACAACGCCTACAGGCTGGTGCCCGAGGGTGACCTCGCCCTTCCCCTTGAAGGTGCGTCTCTGCCCTTCCTCTCCGACGCGCCATTCAAAAGATGTCGTTCGACTATTTCTGTACATTTTTTTCTGCCCTGTTTTCCTGACGGATTGCTCTCATCTCTGAATGGTGCAGAGAGCAACTGTAACTAGAAGCTTTTTATGCTTCGTGGGACTGAAATTAACATCACACAACCTGGATTTTCTGCTGAAATTGAAATAGGAACTGATTTCTTGTAAACTAGGCTACTTTTGATATTTCCCATTCTTCCTCGATCATGATATCTTATAATTACTGAAAGCATAAAAAGCGCGGTAAAAAGTCTATCTATTATATTTTTTTATCAGCTCGTCAATATGGTCATTGTGATCTTCGTTAATATCTGGATCATCCTGTATGATGTCTACCAAATATTTGGCGCCATCTTCGTCTTCACCGTGTGGAACATTATATTTTCTTTCTCAATGAGCATCTAGGAACATTGCCATATGCTGTTGACTCCCTCTTAACTCTCATTTCCTCTAGCTACCTATCATCATCTTCCAGAATTGGATATTCCATTTTGAACGATCGAATTCAGTAATGCTTGTGATATGTATGCTCTGGTATTTGTATGTAGTTTCATATAGCTAGATTTCTATTTACATAGTGCTTTTGCATATATGGTAAGAAATAATTGTTTCACATAGAAGTTCATTCTTTACTCGGTTTGGCACATTGCAGCATATGACTCTCCTTCCAATGGACTAACTTTTATCCAGCAAAGATCTCCAGTTGTCAAGGTAATTTTAATGAATCTTTTCAGCAAATTTTAGTCTTGGATCCTGCACTACATTTCACCCCTTGTGATACTAGGGGATTACTCAACATGTGACGGAGCTCAATGAAACCTGTCTAGAGAGAGAGAGAGAGAGAGAGAGAGAGAGAGAGAGAGAGAGAGAGAGAGAGGGAGAGAGGTTAAAATTTTCTCCATAAGTCTGTATCGTGCTAGAATTTGATCAGGGAGGTAAATTGCTTGAACTTTATAGGGGATGGAAGAATTTTTCTTAAGGACTATTTTCTTTCTAAAACCACAATATAGATATATTCTGTCGATAATTAGATGGTAAATATTACATGCATTGTGCATGTGCTGCATCTTCAAGAAGTTATATATATACTGGGGGAAGTATATGTTCATTGAAAAAGAACACAAACTCATGACGAAGAACCAAGTTGAAGTGGAATTGGTTATTATTTGACTGAAGGTTGTGACTAGGCCAAGTATAAATTATAATGATTTTTAATCATTTAATTATTATGGTTATTATTAAAAGAGAATAATTCTTTCTTTGGTGAATTATGTTGACCCAGTAACTAGATTGAGAGGAATCAATAGGCAGCATCTGGAGGATATTAATGGAGCACTGCAACCAGGAGAAATGAAAAGATATTGTCAATGATTGACGGATTGAGGATCATAAAAAATAGGAGTTTTGAACAACAGGATCTCTGGATTAATAAGCGGCAAGCATGATCGTGGACCAAGAAATAATGCCAGTAATAAGATCTTCGATTCCTCTTATGCCATATATTTGTGTCAGAACGAATACTTTTTTGAAGAATGAAGCGAAGTATTTTCTATTTGAGGAGCATGAAAAATGAGAAAAATTTCACTTCTTGAATGATAAAACTTTGTGAGTGGGGTTTGAGAAAATTGGTCACATCTTTAAGCACTTCACGATCAGCTACCTAGTCAACGAAGTTGAGTATCAGTCATCCTTCTACACATTCTTGAGCCATCTGCATTGTGATCTTTCTCTTCTTGTTGGGAAGATAACTACTGAATCATCCTGCTAATTCTGCTATCCCTTTCTCAGGGATTGATGCTTGACTTTGCCAAGAATGTTGCCGATTTTGCCGCTTCTATCGGAAAGAAGCACATTTTAATCCTCTCGAGTTTAGACTCTGGAATCAGGAAAAGAATTCATGCTTCAAGGTACATGGAATTTGAGATATTCGCAAATACATACAATTTTTTGTGTACATGTATTATATGATCATATCACTCCAATGCCATTGCGATTAACGGGCACTTATCTTCTACAAAATTTACCCACCTGCTCCCATTTCTTACATTTTTTCTTGACGGTTCAATCCCATCATTCCAGTGATGTACAGATCTACTATATTTCAAGCACCTCTAGCGAAGGAAACGATGAGGAATGCGAGAGATTAGGATGGAAAAGGCTGGAAGAGTATAGCCCTTCTCAAAGGCGATGGATGTACCTCCACTCGCTTGCAGAGGGTAATCCATCGCCAGAGCTGGCCTCCTTTGAAGATGATCTAGAAGACGATGACTACTGCCCGGGTTTGCCATTTGCAGCATTATTCTGCTTCTGCAAGGTGCAGTTGAAGTGAAGACTGAACAAGAAGGTTGGTTCTTGATCTTCTGCCTGCTTGAGGTTTACGTTCTTCCCTGTTTCTTCCCTTTCTTCCTGAATCAGGCAAAGGGCTTGAAGGTCACTTGTGCGCTATGCTACTGCTCAGAAGGAGACAATGTGTCAGATTCTCTTCAGTTAGCCGGAGCTGCCTGCAGCCTTCTCGGGCTAAGCCTAGAGAAGCTTCCCGGTCAGCCCTCAACATATTTATATTTAAAAATAAATAAATTGAACCATGTTGCTTCTCTAGCTGGGATTACTATCGCACAAACAGTTTATTTACATGGGTTTTTATAAAAATGGTTCCTTCCCTTTGTTTGCTACGATTATTAGATAAATTCCTGTAATCGTTCGTTGACCCATGGTCTGACTGATAAACTCATACGGAGAGCTTCCACTCCTTTGCAGGCACGGAGGGTGGCGGCTGGATAATCCCATGTTCATGGCAGAATATGTACGGTCCTCCTCCGGATCTGTCCATCTTCTAGCCGTCAGGTCTGCGATGTTCCTTCTCCTCGAGAAGCATTTCTATCCATGCTGGTGATATCTGTCAGTGGGCTTCCTCAGCTCGCCTGTTCATCACAGGATGACGAGATGAGGAAGATGGAGATCTCCTCTGGCTCACACTGGATCTGTTTTTCTCTCTGGATGGAAAAAACCTTTTCTTTTTTTCTTTTCTTATTATAAACACTTGGGACAATTTCTTACTCTACTGGGAATGGGATCGATCTCGAGCTTTTTAGTCGGAGATTAGAACAGGAGGGTCAGCGGAGAACATTAGGCGGCGGCGGCGCCGCCTTCTGAAACCCAGATGAGGACGAAGACTGTTCACGGCTCTCGCACGTCGAGGGTTCCCACCGACGACCCCGCGAAGACGCCGCCATCTCCTGTCTCATGAGAGAGAGAGGGTACCGGCGACACAGTCTGGTCTTCTGCATAGGCATCTGCCGTGCGAGGGGGGGGATATCTGCGTCAGTTAATTTGACTTTATCACCAAACACGCGGTTCTTAAAACCAGGTGATCCATGAAACCATGGTGGCTATCGTCATGGATTGATGTACGAGATGCACCGATATGTTCGATCATGCCAAGGTCAGCGTTGACTTGATCAATCCTGGAAGGAAACTTCCTCGATCCTCCCCCCAGACGATGATCGCATGTCCAACTCTCAAATCCGCGTGCCATCAAGACAGATGGAGGAAAGTCCTGCCGAAAAAGGGCCCACCGTTCCTAACCAAAGTCTGCGCTGCCGTCCGATGAAGCGGGAACGCCGATCAGCCGGGTCGGTCGTCGAAGTAAACGGATGGGCCCCACCCCATTCGCCCTACTGGTCAAGACGAGATGGAGGCAGCCGACAACATTAACTTCTCTTACCTATTGGTCCGAAATACAGATGACTCAGGGGCAAAAGACTAATATAAATATTTTATCGCGATGTATGACAAACCTCCTCCCTCTTGACGAGTTAATTCAATGACCCACTGGGAAATCTTATCGGATCTGAAATCGGCTCTACAATCGGAGCAAGACCCTCACGGAGGTCGACCCGGGTTGCCGAGTTGACTCAGAGAGCCATTCCTCATACCGACAAAGTTCTGATGGTGGACCCAACTTCGGGCCCACAGAGGCCGAGGGGGTAGATTGTCTTTTTTGATCCTAGTGGCCACCCCTGTCAGGGAGTCAAATGAGGGGCATATCCGTAAATCAGAAAGTACGTCATGCACCAAACATACCTAAAATACCCTTATAAACGCAGGAGTATTTACAGTATTATAGGCGGATAGAATGGCGTTTTAGTCATTGTATGGAGATGAATCCAACCCCCCCCCTCCCCCGGTAACATCAGTGCGCCTTCCTCGGCGGCTCAATAAAGGCGAGCGCGGGTGTGACTGCTTTCAGCTGATTTCCGTCGCCTGAGAGGGGAAGGGAGAGGTCTGGCAGCGGAGACCGGCGACTTCCCTCCTACTCCATCTGCCGAAGTTGTTCGTCGTGGGAGGTTTTCTCGGAGAGAAAGGGGGAGCAGGAGTGGGGGTGGTTGGGGTTATCGATTCCTCCCTTCCTCCCTTCCTCGAGGTTGACCCAGTAGTCCCGCAATTCCAACTGCGAGTAAGTCAGGGATTCTCCAGGTCTCCGGCCGTCGACTTGTTTGTGAAGTGGCGGCAGCATCAGCGGTATCGGGGGCCGCTCCGGAAGCGGCGCGTAGCGACGGTCTGTCGTCTCCTCCTGTGCAATTTTCCGTGGTTTTCCCGTCTGCCAGGCGGCGGATCGGAGGATTACGATAGCCTGACTGTCGAGGGTGGGGATTTTGAATCCTTTGTAACCCCACCCATTCTCCTCGATGAGGTACCCGTCGCCGATCTTGTCGATTGTTCTGTGAGAGATGATGGCCACCCGCCGGATCTTTCTCGTCCTCTTCTTAATCGCGGTTCTGGCCCCCTTCGCCTATGCTGTCTGCAACCGAACTTGCGGCGCCTCGAAGGCGTCGGTCCCTTATCCATTCGGCTTCTCAGAGGGATGCCCTATCGTCTTGAATTGCTCCACCGACGAGGAGCATCCGTTCTCGTTGGGCGAATTCAAGGTGAAAAACGTAACCTCAAGCAGCTTCTGGATCGATTTGCATCCATCGTGCAACCGGTCGATCTCGACAGTAAAGCATTTCTTCAAGCATAATTATAGGATGACAGCGAGGAACACTCTTCTCCTCCAGACTTGCTCGTCCGATACCGTCGCCCCTGTTTGCCTACCATCATTGTCGAATTTTTCCAATAATCTGGGCTCGTGGGCCGGGCAATGCAAATCCATCCAAATTAACTGCTTCTCAGCCAACACAAGCCATCGGGGCCGTGATCTGCCCCCACTACTGAGCAGCGATTTCATTGACGGCCTCAATTGTTCCAATCTCTACTCTTCGATGACTCTCATCGACCAGGCCGCCTCGATTCAACTAGAGACGGTGGAACTCGGCTGGTGGCTGGGGAACAACTGTTCTCTGTGCCACAAAGATGCTAAGTGCAGCTTAAGCCACAGGACAGTATTGAACCCTGGAAAGAACAGTAGCGCTGTCCAGAGTCCTTTGTGCGTGTGCCTGGATGGACTCGCCGGCGACGGGTTCAGCGAAGGAGACGGCTGCCAAAGAGGTACGCAAAGCCACTGAACTGCTTCTGCTTCTGCTTCTGCTTAGGGTTGGCGGGTGGCGACACCGGGCTTTCAATATCCTCTGCCGACTCCAATTCTCCCCAACTCTCCTGTTTAATTTCGGTCAAAGTGGAAGTTGCTTCTTTACGCATCAAACCCATCGCAAGTCTGATATTCTCCCTCGTGTCACGGGTCAATTTTTCCCTAGTCCGACCCTGTTTCTGCGAACAAAGCTAGAATTGGTGGGATGAGATCCCCGGCCACGCAGACCAGCAGAACGTCGCCCCTTCTTTCCCACCAGGGATTTGTTTCCATGCTCACCATACCCCGAATGAGAAGGGAACCCTGCTGATTCGAGAGTGGCGGACAGGGTTTATGTGGGTGCTAACTCGTGCGTCGTTCTTGCTTCTTGCTCTCTGTTGTTCCCCAAATGCAGTGTCCAAGGGCCGGTCGTTCTGGACCAGGAAGGCGGTCAAAGTCGGGATCACGATCGCAGGTGAGTTTCGTCATCTGATTCGAAATTATTTTGAAGGATTCATATTCTACCACCGGTGAATGCATGTGGGTCTGCCATGGATTTCCGTAACTTTCTGGTGTGGCTTCTTGCTCCTCGTCTCCTTCACGTACAGAACCGCTTCTATCTATCGATCTTTTCAGGAGTGATCGCTATAGCTCTGTTCATGGCGCTGCTGGCTTTCCTCTGCTACTTCATCCGGCGGTATTCCATTTCCACGAGAATGCGGCGGAGCACGAAGCGCTTACTCTCCGAAGCCTCCTGCACCGTCCCCCTCTACCCATTCAAGGAAATCGAGAGAGCCACCAACGGCTTCTCGGAGGAAAACAGGCTGGGAACCGGCGCCTACGGGACGGTCTACGTCGGGAAGCTCAGTAATCACGAGCTCGTCGCAGTGAAGAAGATCAGGCACCGGGACACAGATGGGACCGAGCAAGTCATGAATGAGATCAAGCTTCTGTCTTCGGTAAGCCATCCGAATCTGGTACGGCTACTTGGCTGCTGCATAGAGAGAGGAGAACAGATACTGGTGTACGAATACATGCCCAACGGAACTCTGGCTCAGCAGCTTCAGAGGGGGAGCAGCCGCCCTGGCCTTCCGTGGACAGTCCGCCTGGCCATCGCAGCGGACACCGCCAAGGCCATCGCCCATCTCCACTCCGCCATCCACCCGCCCATTTACCACCGGGACATCAAGTCCACCAACATACTGCTGGACTACAACTTCAACTCCAAGGTTGCAGACTTCGGCCTCTCCAAGATGATCATCTCCGATCTGTCCCACATCTCGACTGCGCCGCAGGGTACGCCGGGGTACCTCGATCCTCAGTACCACCAGAACTTTCATCTCTCCGACAAGAGCGACGTCTACAGCTTCGGGGTCGTCCTCGTGGAGATCATCACGGCACTGAAGGTCGTGGATTTCAACAGGTCTCAGAGCGAGATCAACCTGGCGGCGCTCGCCATTGATAAGATCGGGAAGGGGTGTGTGGAGGATATCATAGACCCCTTCCTCGATCCCCATCGAGACGCCTGGACCCTGTCCTCCATTCACGAGGTGGCAGAGCTGGCTTTCCGGTGCCTGGCCTTCCACCGGGACATGAGGCCCTCCATGAAGGAAGTGGCCGACGAGTTGGAACAGATAAGGCTCAGTGCGTGGGTGCCATCCGACGAGAACGTCTTCCTGTCGCCCGGTTCATCAATCTGCTCATCGCCGTCTCTCAGCGCCGGCAAAACAAGAGTGACGTCGAAGAGCATCAGGGATGTCAACGCGAGCTCCAGGAGCAATCTGAAGTTGACTTCCCCTATTTCTGTGCAAGATCCGTGGTACAGCGATCAGAGCTCTCCTTCGGCGAACAGCTTGTTAGGTAACACAGTTCACTGACCTGATCTCCTTGTTCGGGACCTCTCTCTGTACACATTACGGATATTCTCGCGTTGACTTTAATCGCACCCTTGAGTGAACACCTTGGAGGCGAAGAAGAGACGATTATCATTGGGACACCATGGCGTCCACGTGCTCGGATCTTCTGCTTGACCTTCAGACTTCCATCCCCAGCTCCTCCTCTCCCACTCCCCCCACGCAAACACACACACACACAGACCCCCCTTCCCCCCTCCTTCATTGGAACTTGCAGGATACCGAACAGCCTCTCAAGCTCCACAGTCTTCTGGAATAATGGAACCAGCTTCCTAGCCCAAGTGGAGAATCAACGGGGCTGTCGTATTCGCCGAGGGGAATCGGCGAGTCGTCTCCAACGCCACCTTAAACTCTTCTTCTTGGTGGAAGGGAGGACCAGTGGAAGGCGTTTCCATCAGGAAGACTAGATTTTCTGACCGGTGTGGCCGTTCATCCTCCACAAACTCCTTCCACGGAAAGATGCCATTGGACTGGGCCTTTGACCTTAAAGAAGAAAAAGAGGGAGAAATCCTCTCTCTCTCTCTCCTCTCTCTCCCTTTCTCCCTTCTCTCTCCTCTCTCTCTCTCTCTCTCTCTCTCTCTCATGGGTGCATCAGGCGGGGTGAAGCTTGGCTCGTATTACTCGTGGGCTGCGAGCCCATATTATCCTTTTGGCCGGTTGCACGCTATAATCGTGCAACTTATCCGATGTTTGAAAACCCACTGCCACGAATCGAGACGTACTCTTGCACGTCCCTGTGCGATTTGTGGATCCCGCTGTGTGCAGTCGGGCGTTCGAAATCAGGACGGTCCGCAGTTGGGGGAAGATCTGAGCCGTACAATACTAAACGTCAAAAAATAACAAAATTGGATGCTTCCACGTCATCATGAGAGAATTGCGATTGGCGAGGGGCAGATATCTTACCCGATTTAAAGAGAGAGAGAGATATATATATATATATATATAAATATATAATGGGAAAATATATGGATTATCCCAGGTTAGATCGGTTTTCAAAAAAGTAAAGACAAGGGCCACAGCTGTCAGGTAGGTCCCACCAGGCCGATAATAAATAAAAAACAGGATATTTTTCGCGTTTGGATGGAGGTGGGCCCCTAATTTCCACTGTGTCGGTTGCCATGTGGGTCATGGGAGAAGGCCATACATAGTCCATGTGAGCTGGTGGACCGGACCCCGGGCTGGAACGCCGTCTTTTCCGACCACGTGGGCGGAGTTGGCTAATTCTCAAACGTGGGAGTGGGGATGAGCCGACCTACGTTTGACGGCAGCCTGCAAGGAACACGAGAGCCGCTTTTTTCTCTCTCTCCAGCTGCCCGTCGAAGGCATCAGCCGTCTGCCGCTTATAAAATCAAACATGGTAAGCAATCCGTGTATCCTCAAGTTCGGGCTAGATCTCGATTTCTGTTCAGCGGGGCGCAGAGAGAAGGCATGGCGTCCACAAGTGCCTGCCTTTTCTGGTCTACTTCGCGCATGGCGTGTGCCGGCCGCGCCGGGCGGCGCCGGAGCATCTCCGCCACCCTGTCGGAGACTAATAAGCCCGCCGAGAGCAGCCCCTCGGCCTCTTCGCCGCCGGGCACCGGGAAGAAGCTGCCCATCCGGAAGGTCCCCGGCGACTACGGGCTTCCCCTGATCGGGCCGGTGCGCGACAGGCTTGACTACTTCTACTTCGAGGGTCGGGATGAGTACTTCCGGAACCGGACGCGCCGCTACGGCTCCACCGTCGTCCGGCTGAACATGCCGCCGGGCCCGCCCATCGCCGCCAGCCCCGGCGTGATTGCCATATTCGACGGCGCCGCCTTCCCCGTCCTCTTTGACACCTCCAAGGTCGAGAAGAAGGATCTCTTCACCGGGACCTTCATGCCCTCCGTGGAGCTAACCGGCGGCTACCGCGTGCTCTCCTACCTCGACCCGTCGGAGCCCAACCACGCCCTGCTCAAGAACTTCCTCTTCTACCTGCTGGGTTCCAGCCGGAACGCCGTGATCCCCGAGTTCCAGAGCTCGTTCGGCGCCGCGTTCGACGCCCTCGAGTTGGAGCTCGCAGAGAAGGGAGCCGCCGACTTCAGCTCGGCGAACGAGCAGGCGTCCTTCAACTTCCTCAGCAGGGCCTTCTTCGGGAAGGACCCGGCGGGGGGGGGCCTCGGATCGGACGGGCCCGGTCTAGTGAACAAATGGGTTCTCTTCCAGCTCGCCCCCCTGCTCACGCTGGGTCTGCCCTATCTGGTGGAGGACGTTCTGCTCCACAGCGTCCGCCTGCCCGCCGCCCTCATCAAGTCCGACTACCAGCGGCTCTACAATTTCTTCTACTCGGCGGCGGCGCCGGCCCTGGACGAGGCGGAGCGGATGGGCCTCTCCCGAGAGGAAGCCTGCCACAATATCTTGTTCTCCATGTGCTTCAACTCCTTCGGGGGCATGAAGATCTTCTTCCCGAACATCATGAAATGGGTCGGGCGGGCGGGGACTGCGCTGCACACCAAGCTGGCGGAGGAGGTCCGGAGCGCCGTCCGGGCCCACGACGGGCAGGTGACGATGAGGGGCATCGAGGAGATGCCCCTGCTGAAGTCGGTGGTCTACGAGGCCTTCCGGATCGAGCCGCCGGTGCCGTTCCAGTACGGCAAGGCCAAGCGCGACCTGGTGATTGAGAGCCACGACGCCGCCTACGAGGTCCGGCGCGGCGAGATGCTCTTCGGTTACCAGCCCTTCGCCACCAGGGACCCCCGGATCTTCGACCGGGCGGAGGAATTTGTCGGCGACAGGTTCCTGGGCGACGGCGAGCGGCTTCTCCAACACGTCCTATGGTCGAACGGCCCGGAGACGGAGACACCCACTCAGGACAACAAGCAGTGCGCCGGGAAGAACTTCGTTGTCCTGGTGGCGCGGCTCCTCGTGGCGGAGCTCTTCCTCCGGTACGACTCATTCGACGTCGAGACGAAGTCGTCGACGCTGGGCAGCTCCATTTCTCTGACGTCCCTGAAGAAAGCTACCTTCTGAGATCCCGGCGCGCAATCAGAGTGTGTGTGTGTGTGAGAGAGAGAGAGAGAGAGAGAGAGAGATCGGCAGACGGCCATTCACACAAACAGACGGAGACATTATCTCTCGGTCAGATTTTGTTTCTGAAGCGGACGAAAGATCCCTCACAGCACACTAATATATAATAGTCCCATATCCATGATCGGCTGTATGCTAAGATGCGATAAGGTTAGTCAACGATAGGGGCGACTAGGTTCCGTCCAAAGTTCCGCCCCGGAGAAGCTTAGACAACGCTTCCCAATTTGCTACTTCCTGACACGCCGCTGGCCATAAACTCCTTCCTTGACCTCTAAAATATTTTCTTTACCTCCCTGCAAATTAGTTGGTCAACGATGAAAAATGTTCGGGCGTCTTTTCTTTATCCGCCGATGATTGACACAGTCAACGACATAGAATGTTCAAAAGTCTTTTGTATATCCCCCAGATTATTCACACCATCAAACGATGAAAATATTTAAGAATCCTTCATCTATCTGCCTTTAATTTTCACAGTCAACGACGATAACTGTTTAAGTATTTTTTACGATTTACACAGTCAACGGTGGGAAGTGTGAATGGCTGCGCATTCTTCTAGAAATCTCTCTTTTTAACTGTTGACCTTTGATAAATTTCAGAGCCCAATAGGTGGCGTAGACTACATGTCAACTGTTATTTATAGTAATTCCACACCCCTATCCGATTACGGTCGTGGCCCTCCTCTTTCCGCCTCCACGGTTGCTACTGCCTCCACATCCCAAGGGCAGCGTCGATGACACGTGGTCAATCCGCTTCTGTTCGTCGTGAATTCAAAGACTGATTAAACCCCCCCCCCGATTAAGCAGATGCACGGGGCCAAGAAAAATTAATCGGCCTAGGATTTATTATATAATTGGTACCATGATAATTACGAAATTTAATCAAACATGAAGGTTTCGTGTTATCCGTGTAAATATTTAATGCTGTAGATCTTCGTTACAATAGATAATAAATAAATGGGTTATTTGATTAACCACCTTTAAATCAGTTGAATGAACGATGTGTCCTGTTTGACATTCATACTCTTCTTCCCCTATTAATTACGGAACTCTTCGTTCGTCGTTCAATATATTAGACCAGAGACATACGACTCTCTCCGCGCACGCGCAGACAGGATTGACTGGCATGATTGGTGGGGTGTCTCGCTGAGAGGGACTTTCTAGAGGACCAAAGAGATATATAGATAGATAGACAGCGAGAGAAAGAGAGAGAGAGAGAAGCGAGACGGATAGTAAAGAGATGTCTTCCTCGCTATCGGCCGAGGAGATCCCCCTGCTGAAATCCGATGCCGGGGAGTTGCAGAGCAAGCTCCCATTGAAGGCCATCCCAGGGAGCTACGGCATCCCTTTCATCTCCCCAGTCATGGATCGCCTTGACTTCTTGTACAACCAGGGCGGCGATCAGTTCTTCCAGTCCCGGATAGACCGCTACGGATCCACCGTCCTCCGGGTCAACGCGCCGCCTGGTCCCTTCATGGCGAGGAACTCGAAAGTGGTCGCCGTCGTCGATGCCAAGAGCTTCCAAGTTTTATTCGACTGCTCCAAGGTGGAGAAGAAGGACGTCTTCACCGGCACCTACGTGCCCTCCACCTCCTTCACTGGCGGCTACCGGGTCTGCGCGTACCTCGACCCCTCCGAGCCCACCCACACCAAGGTCAAGCAGGTCCTCCTCCATCTCCTCGCCGCGAGGAAAACCCACGTCATCCCCGAGTTCCGGGCTTCGTACTCGGGCCTCTTCAGCACCATGGAGGAGGAGATCGCCCGGTCGGGTAAGTTCGTCTTCAACGACCTCAACGACGACGCCGCGTTTGAGTTCCTAGGGAAGGTCTTCACCGGAGTGAGCCCCTCGGCGACGGCGCTCGGTTCCAGCGGACCGAACAAGGCGACCAAGTGGCTCTTCCTTCAGCTCTGTCCCATCATGACCCTCGGCCTGCCCAAAATTCTGGAGGATCTCTTACTCCACACCTTCCCTTTACCCTTCTTCGTGGCGAAGAAGGACTACGCTGCGCTGTACGATTACTTCAGCTCCGCGGCGCAGACCGCCCTGGACTTCGCCGAAGAGCTGGGGCTGTCCAGAGAAGAGGCCTGCCACAACCTCGTCTTCGCTGCATGCTTCAACGCGTTCGGCGGCTTGAAGGTGCTCCTTCCCGGGGTCCTGCAGTTCCTTGCAAAGTCCGGGAGCGACCTTCATGCCCGCCTGGCCGACGAGGTCCGCTCCGCCGTGCGCTCAGAGGGCGGGGAGCTGACCGCGGCTGCCTTGGAGAAGATGGAATTGACCAAGTCTGTGGTGTACGAGGCCCTTCGAATGGACCCGCCCGTGAAGTACCAGTACGGGGTGGCCAAGCGGGATCTGGTCGTCGAGAGCCACGAGGCGAGCTACGCGGTGAAGGCCGGCGAGATCTTGTTCGGCTACCAGCCGCTCGCGACGCGCGACCCGCAGGTGTTCGGGCCTGACGCCGGGGAGTTCGTCGCTGACCGGTTCGTGGGGGAGCGGGGCAGGGAGCTGCTCCGGTACGTGGTGTGGTCGAACGGGCCGGAGACGGAGAACCCGACGGCGGGCGACAAGCAGTGCCCCGGCAAGGACATCAGTGTGCTGACGGCTCGGTTGCTGGTGGCGGAGTTCTTCCTGCGCTACGACACCTTCGCGGCGGAGCTAGGACAGGTCCCTCTGGCTGTCAAAGTTACCTTCACCTCGTTGACCAAGGCGACGGCTGGGTCGAAGGAGTGAGTGACAATGGAGGGGAAGCTAGGGCACGGGTACCGGTGGTTGCTGTCACCACGGTGACGGGGCATTGAATATCTGTAGTGGTAGTAGGTAGACGGCTAGCCACCGGCGAGATTGCACAACTACTTCTGTTTCCGATTTCAATGGAGTGGCTTCGGCCGCCGATTTTAAATGCCTAATGAATATATACGCGGCATTTGACTGAAATGGAATAATGCCGTCCATATGCCTACCAAGTTTTCCGACCAACTTAACTTCGGCTGGTAATATCGTACCAGGGCCAGATCAAATGTCAAATCTTGGGAAGAATATTCAGACTGAAATACATCCTATGATGATAGAAAATACGATATAAGATCATTATTACATGATTTTGGTTCTCAAAAAAATTAAAAACCGCTCCTTTTCTCAATCTGTGCGGAAAACGGGCCGGCTGTCGGCGTTTATGGGTGTCGACAAGGTCGTTGGTAGGGTTGACAGTTCCAATCTTCTGCGATCGGTCTCTCTCTGACCTCGCTTGGAGAGAGTTACAGTTGGAATATAACGGGGAGGGAGGGAGACGGAGAGGGAGAGAGAGAGAGAGAGAGAGAGAGAGAGAGAGAGTAACTTCTCTCCATGTTACGTGATGTTTTCCAGGGAAATGAGCCCCGACATGGTCAAACCCCTTGTGGAGACAGAAAACTGTGACGTTGGACGACGACATTGAGGCCCTAGCCGCCGCAACCACCACCACTAGGATTTAACCTTGGGATATGTCCAAACGTCGACCAAGCCACTTGGGGACGTTCTC